GTGCATGGTTCCATAAATCCCTTTGACAGCTAACAGCACATATATCTAGAATACACATATATCCATGACACAAGAGAATATGGCATATGCATTGCAGCAATAAACACATGCTGCCAAGATATTTCAAGTCATTAAGCTTTATCTGCAAAAAAGATACTCCTTGGAGTAGTTTATATTAGAAATATTTAATATGTTCACAATACAAAAAACAGTTTTTGTTGAATGTGATGATAACCCATTTCTTAGTATCTATATCTAGCATCCATTGAGTGCTGTACAAAGCTCATATGAGCTATACAGGAATTTGTATGCAGGGCTGAGCATTTCCTGGGGTCTGAGTTAATACAAAGCTTTTGAGAATGCTCAACATCCTTGTCAGCAACAGTGTTGAAGGCAGTTGATGCTAGTATTGACAACCTTCCTCTGTATCCTTTAGGACTGATTAGCATATTTCTCATTAGGAGTGGGCCCATTTTTCCAAGCCATACAAAGACACAACAGACAGCCCCATACTTAGCAGTATGAGGATTCTTCCCTACTCAGCTCCAGTGTGATGCTTAGACAGTGTTAGAAATGCAAAGATTAACTCTTCCTACAAAGGTTTAGTTTTCAGTAGTAAATATCAAAGTTTCAAAGTACTTTGGATTATTAATGGTTTGGCATTTTCAGTGTAGCAGATAACAGGAATAATGTGCCAAGCCAGTAGAAAAGTCTCACATCAGAACAAAATACATTTATTTTTGATTCTGAGCAATTTTCAGCTCCTGCTGGGGGGAAAAAAAAACAGTAGGACAAAATTACATGGAAGGGCAATAGCATAACAGCCCTTTCCCCACACATAACACATAGCTGGCTTATCTTATTGCACGTGGCTTCATAATTACAGAACCCAGAAAATAGAAGTATTACATAGTCAGATAGGAATTAGGTGTAACAAATAAAGTTTAGAGCTTGTTCATGGTGATATGAAGCAGAAGTTTAGATGTCTTCCATACCCACCTATCTCATCTGAAAGCATTTATCCTGCTAATGCTCTAACAGCCCCACCAAGCTTTAACTGCAGATTTGGGCCAATCATAGAATCGCTTGAGTTGGAAGGGATCCTTGAAGGCCATCTAGTCCAATTCCCCTGCAACAAACAAGGACATCTACAGCTCAGTATGGCCTTAAAGTCCTTCAGTAGAGTACCTTGCAAGTGGGATAAGACACGGTGATGAGAACCATCATCACTATCTCCTCTTCTTTTGGCTACTTTCTGCTAAAAGCAAAATGGCCAGATGAGGTGCTAACCTCACATAAAGACTCCGGAGTCTGCATGCTGCATGGACAGAGGATCCTCATACAAAGCAGTAACCCAGTCAAGCTGTAGCATTCACATCAGTTTCCTCAAACTGTTTGTCTGTGGGCTGAAGGCCCCACTCACCAGATCAGCTTCTTTCAGTCTCCTCCAGAAGGGCTACAGAGGGGCTTAAGACCCATCAGAGCGGTAGGAAGGGACTTATCCCACATTGTAACTCTCTCATATGGGCAGGCACAGCCCTAACAGCCTGCAGGGCTCGTGGTGGAGCAGAGGATTAAAAGAAGAAACCCTTCTGTCAAGCAGGATCACTACTGAGCTCTGAAACTGCCCCCACCATTCCTACAGGTCTGGGCATCTTCCCATCCTTGCCCTTCACTCCCCTGCAGCAGGCTCCATGGTGGAGCAGGCTGGCTGTGCATAAACTGCCCAGGGTTAGGACTCAGCAGGGAAACCAGCTCCTGATACCATATCTGGCTTTACTCCATCAAAATGCTAACAGCAGTTGAAGAAACAAATATTGGAACAGGTACTAAAAAAAAACAACCTAGAAATTACTAAATAGAAATCCTCCCAAAGAGGCCATGTAGCCTCCAGTGGTCAGTATTAAGGAATTGCAAAAGAGGTATGTTATATTATCTTCAGTAGTACTGTCTCATAAAAGAAATCAAAGAATCATAGAATCACAGAATCATAGGGGTTAGAAGGGACATTTGGGGATTATCAAGTCCAGCCCCCTGCTCAAGCAGAATATTGGACCATGATCACAACTTGGACAAGCTGTCACACTGGCTTTGGCTTCCATAGAAGTCAAAAGAGAGTTAGATGTTATTTTCAGGGAAAAGACAGAACTTTACAATGTGGTACTTCCCATACACATGTTGTTGTAAGACAACAAATGTCTTACATGTCTTACAACATGTTGTCGTAAGACAACAAATGTTTCTTCCTTCTGTTTAGGAGTAAGATGTCACAGCTGAAACCACACTGAGGAGAGTGGAGTCAAATAGATGCTGGCAAACTCATGAAACAGGCAGTGCTATCTATAATCTCACGAGAAAAAGTGATTTTTAAATGGGCTGTGTCGTGCAGCCTTCAACTATATTAGCTGAGCATCTTTTAGGACGTAAGCGAAACAGCTTAAGAAGGCAATCAGGTCTTGCTCAACTGTTACTCCTGACTTTTGCCTTATTGAAAAAGATGAGAGCTGTGGGGTTTGGTTTGGCTTTGTGCTGTGCAAAAGCTGTTCCTTAAAAATTGTAAAAATTAGATAAGGCTATTCATATGTAGCACTCATTAGTGAGAGCCTCTCAGGGTTGGCACTAGAACAAACACAAGACCATTCTATCTATATGTGCTGGTAATAGCTGTATTTGTTGAAATACACTGTGGAATTCACTGTGAAATACACTGAAATTCACTGTGGTGAAGCACCTCCTTCATCCTTTCAAATCGCCAGATGTTAAAGCAACTAATAAATGCAAGCACCATTTGGCCTCCCATTGATGTGAGCATTTCATATCAAAGCTCTAGGCAGCGTGAAGGGCAAAGCCAGACACTCCCTGAGTGGATTAGAAGAGTTTAAACACTAGTGAGCATAAGCTGTGAAGAACTCACGCTGCCAATATTGCTGTGAGCTGCCAGCACATTCCCAAGGATATGGTGATACTGGAAAAGTTTGACCCAAGGGAAAATTTTTACCTGTCTCTGTTAGGAAAGCATTTTTTTTTCTTGGCATGTAGAGGGCACCATCAGAATTGTGAAAGGAGCAAGATTTTTTGGTACTGTGAATGTATATTCTCTGTACAATTGCACTATTCCTAAACAGTCAAAATCCAGTCGGTCACAAACCCGAACAAGAATAAAGCTGGGTTGGTACGTTTACTACCTGTTTTCATTCCTTGTAGTTAACAAAACCAGTTACTAGGCAGCAGTGCACATTTACCATAACTGTCCCAATGCTTTTATAGCTTTGGTTACAGGAAGGGCTGAGCATCAGAGGTTTTAAAGTATGAGTGGGTATTTCTGGATCCACTACAAGCACTACACCAGTGATTTATTACTGACACTTTGTTACAGGAACTATATTGGAATTTCATTGTTTTGGCCCATTACTGCCTTTCTCCATGCCATCTCCAAATGTTCAAGTTTTTTCTCATTTCGCCTTTTATACTTGCATTTGTGATTGCTTACAGCATACATATCATTGTGACTCCATTTGTATTAAGTCTCTAAAACTTTTCTTTCTGTGAGTTTCAGAGGAAAAAAATCCCTTTTATTGGGGAAAAAACAAATTAGAAAAAAAAGCCCTGAAAGCCCTAGGCTGAAGTCATCTGCCGGCACTGGGAGAGAGCAAAGAGAGGAAAAGTCTGCCAAAAAACTGAGCAGCTTTGAAAGGTAGCACCTCTATAATGAGGATGCTACTCAGCTGTATATTTGCTACAAGCCCCTCAGTTCAGGCCCCAAGACAGTGCAGAGCAGACCAAAGCAGCCATTAGGCGGCTCTGTGCTCTAGGCTTTTCCATCAGACTGTAGCAACACTGTATTTTTAGTTCAATTGCAATTAAAGATTGTCAGCTCCTCTAACTTGTTTCCTTCCTCAGCCTACAAGAAAACTTTCCGAACAAGCGTTAAAAAGTCCTCTCTTTTATGTTTTAATGGACAAGGAAATTTTCCAGTTACCTCAGCTATTTCCCAAACCCAGAGGGACCAAAGTTTGGCAACTTCATAATATCAGAGAAAAGAATAATGATACATGTTTTGCATCAGGTGTCAGCATTATGGTGTTCTCAGGGAATAATGGGGACAACAAGCACACATAGCACTGATCTAAAGTGGCTCTTAGGAAACAATGTCAGAGGTCAAAGCTAAATCTTCAGATTTTACTTTCATACATTTTTTTAACCTCTGTCTCAAATAATTATCTAGAGAGACATTAACAGAAAAGGTGGGCAGCAGGAGACTGGAAAGGGGGGAGTCAGTGCTACTCTACCACAAGAGTTCTTTTTGGTTGCAGAGCTGCTTACGTGGTAAAACCTCCCGATCACTGCTATGAAGGACTGACCACAGTGTCTAAAATGATCCTTCCAAAGCACTCAGGCCTTTTCTAAGCAGCAGATGACATGAAATAAATAGGTACGGAGGGACCACAGTGCACCTTGTATGTACTACCTCCATCAAACAACCTGTTCTGTGCCTCAGCATGAGAAGGAGACACAAGGGGACACAGCGACAAGAAAATAATGACTGCTGGAAGAAAGCAGACAGAAAAAAAATGATGAATAAAGAAAAGCAGCAGCTGTACAACACCTATGCACAGATGAGAGAGGAAGTGCTGTGCTCTTCTCTAGAACCCTCAGAGACAGTAGATTCAAACTGGATCAGCACATTACTAGATTTCTGTCATAGGGCTGTGAGTGATGAATACTCCTGGTCATCTTCATTGCAAAGCATGGAACTGAAAATATGTTTCTTCTTTGCAGCCTTCAAGAAATAGACCCTTAATAAGCATATGCAAGGTGTATGCATTTGGTTCTTGGTAGTTGCAGACCAATGGATAAGGACACATGTTGTGTTTTGAGTGGTCTCAATATTGTACTGACACTTGAGTAGCTCTTCAGAAGATGCTGCATCCACACAATATGTACCTTAATACCTGCAACTAATGCATTAGAGGAAAAAATAACAGTACAAAACCCAACAATAAGGTATGAGAGTGCTTTTATTAAGACATTACAACACAGTTATTCAGATAGTCACAATATCAGTTTCTGCTGGGCCTGCATGGTATCAAACAGAAGCAACTGCTCAGCTTCCATCAAAGGTATAGCTCTGCTGAAATCAATAGGCAAATCTCTAGCCCTGCCACAAGAAGAGGCTTAGTATTGTACACACCACAAACTATACAAATATTTTTAATAAAATAGATTGAACTTTCACTGTGTACAGAAAACAAACCTATATTTGACAGCAAACAGCAAAAGTGAGGAGACACCTACATCATAAAAAGTTAACAACTGTGTTTATCAGACTTTAAAATTACAAAGGTAAGTTGCAGTTTCATTAATGAATTATAATCAAATTGATTTTTTTTTAATCAGGATCTGAGAACTGATATTTCAGCAACAAAAAGACAAGTCCAAGATTTTTACTTCTTACAGATCCACTTGAATCAAAAAGAATATATATAAGATATACCTAAAATTAATTTATGGATCTTTAAGCTGTGTGTAACCTCTAAGATCAACCAGTCTGACCTTTCACAAAACACAAGCCAAATCTTTTACCCAGTAGTCTTAGTACCTAACAGTATTTGGATAGAGGGACTAGAAAAGCAGATTTTCAATGCTATTCTGTACCAGCACCTAAATGCTGTGGCTGGTATGAGCAGTTGTGAGTAGTTGTGAGTTCAAACTAATGGCCAATTTCCACTAGAGAGCTGTGTATAATAGTGTTCATTTCATTTAATAAGGAATTATCTTGTTCAGTGCAAATGTCTGCATTACTGCAATGTCAACCCAACAGTCTCCACCACTGGCCAGGAGGTGTGCAGCAATTGGAACCCGGCAGTGGTAGAGATGAGTTACCATACTCTCCATCTTCCAAAACACTCACTGAAAAGTCCTGCAAGGGCTACTTCATGTGTCAAAAATGTTTTTGTTCCAGTTTATCCAGCTGAACAGATTGTTGTGGTATTGACTGAAGCACGAAAACTAAACCTCTGCTGCTGTAGTAATGGTAGGGTCTTGCAGCGCAGCCAAAATATGGGTCAAATTTATACCTACTGTGTGCAGTTTGAGCACTCTCACTTTGCTGGGCAGCACACTCAACTGCAAAATCACTCTGGTCTAATTAAACAGAGCAGGTAGGTAGCAATGGAACTATATGGAAATCTATACAGTAGCAAAACTTACTTCTTTTATTTTTTCACCAAGCCCTTCTCAATTAAAGAATTTACAGTCGAACCTCAAGACTCACGTCAAAGAATACACCATGCAGGTTGAGTCACAGACTCATTGTGCATTTTCTTTATTTGGTGATAAATCAAGTACTTGTTCTCCAGCTTCTGTATACTTAAGGCGTAGCACAGTTAGGTCTTCAGCGTTGCTGCATCTCAGGGTTTCAACCTCACCTTAAGTATACAGTGAATAACAAAATGAAAATGAAATCTCTAATGCTCTAACGTTTTCCTGATTTACTTCCTGAAATACGTAGAGAAACATGTAACTTGTGTAATGGTACAAATTCTGCTAAGAGGGGAAAACTGCAGTGTGGCACAGTGGGACAACCCAGTCTTGAAACCTGAACAGAGAACCATGAACCATGAAGTCTTTCCTTTTTCTCTTGTACTTTTTTCCATGTAAAACTGCTGAAGAAGTTGACTTCAACTTGGAGCTGCAGACACAAATAGCTCTTTGAACATTAGGAAAAAGCCAAATTGCTACCAAAACAAAACAAGGGATATGGAAGTCCTTTACTTGTGATGTTAAGAGCCAGTGTTGGAATCATTGGTGGTCTCCATCATGAAGCGTAATGAAAGCCTGTAGTACTCTGTGATGAGGCACAGTCCAACTAGAAAAGAAAAAGAAAAAATCATAAGAAATGCAATGAAAGGGAAATGTAAAGGGAAGAAGAGCTGAGTTGTTTCAGCATCTAAAAGGAGGCACTGCCTGAAATTCCAACATGCTTATTATATATAAATTTGTGGTCCTGAAAATATCCTTCATGCTACAATGTCATTGTACAACTCTGTAACTGCCAAGCACCAAGTGTATCAAGTGTTGCAATCATTCAGGACCACTCAAGAGAGCAGAACGAATAAAGGCTCAGAGTCTTTAAATGTACCTTTTAATTTAATAGGCCTAGATATGTTTTTATGCTGGGTTATGAGACATGTGTCTTTGATGGAACTGTACAGCTGCTGGAAGAAAAATTACCTTCCCAGTGAGCTCCAGACTGGACAGACTACCCAGACTTTGGGAAGCAATCAGAATATTGCCATCACCTACAGAGGCCTCACAGATGCTGCCATATCTGACTATGGAAGGTGGACTTTGTAACATAAGTTTAGGGGAAATTGAGCTTATAGTGAATGTTCAAGGTTCTATAAGCAGATAGCTTGGGTACAGTCTTCCCTTTTCTTTCTTTGTCTTCTAGGTGAGAAACTTTGCACTCAGTGAAGCAAATTACATTATCTGCAAATACCATCATGATGAATCTAGCAAATTTGCTGTGGTCATGGCAGCTGCATTCTTGTGTATGAAGCCTCCATCAGGAAGGAGTTCTTAACTGTGGTAACAATGTCAGATAAGCCCCTGCCCAAGAATAAAATGCAATCAGATCCACAGTAAACAGCCATGAATTATGAAGCAATGTTGGGCATTATTTCTCAACACCTCTCTTTTCTGTTCTTAAAGGCACAAACATAAAAAGGGGTGTGAGCATCTAGATTTTACAGATAAAAAAGTGCTGAATCCTATACTGAATCTGTTCCTGAATCTGGAAAAGCACTAAATTTCAAAATTGCAGAAGCAGCACTTGTTACAGTGATGAACACTCTTCAGAGCAGTCTATACGGACTCTCTGCGGACTCTTGCAAGAACTACTTTAGCATTATCAACATTTCAGTTTTTTATGTCTAATATTCCACCATATTTTTTTTTTTTTAAATAGCTCCTGCTAAGAAATAAAGTGAAACCCAAGCATATTCAAAAAGGGACAACTTCTGAATCAAACTAACTTCTGCAGTAGCCCTGCCTGTGGCAGGGGGGGTTGGAACTTGATGATCCTTGAGGTCCCTTCCAACCCAAGCCATTCTATGGTTCTGTGATTCTATGAGTTAGAGGGGCAGTTTCCCTCTTTTATTTTACTAATCTGTGGTCTAGAACTAAAAAAGGTATACTTTCTGTGGAAGTGGTCATTGGTGCACTTTAAAGGTGACTGAGACTAAAGAGATGAAGGAAGATGAGGAAAAGGAGGCTACCATCCTCCTCCACATTCTGCAGCATCTGAAAAAGGCAAGAATTGTAAGAATTTCATATTTCTATTATCTTCACCCTCAGCAGACAGGCTAGGAGGTTTAGTACCCTTACATAGAGGATGTTCATCTGCAAGTATTTAACCATTTCATGAAGAGCTGAATAGTTAAAGAAAATAACTTACCACGATTCAGTACTTACATCTGGTAATGTGGAAGTCATTAATCATAGAACACTTGGTAGCTGAAGTTGTCAGACTTGATTCTGAAGTTGTATCTTCCCACCTTTCGCTTGCACTGGAAAATGACAAGGCTCACAACTGCCACCACAAAGCCAAATACAGCAATAACAATGAGGATGATATATCCAACTCCCACACCAGGCTCCTTCTCTCTCTTTGAATCAGATGCTAAAAGAAAAGAAAAAAAAAGAGGTGAAAGACAAAAGCTTTGAAATTCCTAAATCTTTTTCTTGGGTTCAAAGCTTGTCAAGCAGTATAACCTTGCCTACAGATTAGCCAATAGAACTGTGATATCACATTGATACAACATTTTAAAGAAGGTGATTCTCATGGAGAAGTCCAAGTTCTCTTTTTTATGTAAAGTGCAGTGTCCCTACAGACATTATTAGTATGGTATACCTTGGGAATCTGACTCTACAATATTATGAAAAAATAAGAGTTAAAGGATGAGGATTGGTGACTTTGAAATGCTATCTTACTTTTGTAATGCCCCCAGAGACGAAGTCTTCTTCCATCTTAATCCTGCCTCCGTCCATCTGTAGTTATTAAAAATGTTGATTTGCTTTTACCTACCTATGTAACCCTTCTTTAAACACAAAACATTTAAGGAAAGATTATCCATGTGTGCATGGTCTCTAGGCAGCAAAGATCTGGCCACTGCAGTCAATGGAGCCACAATGAAGGAGTCACCCAACTCTGTAGCCTGGACATTTAGTGACACCTGAGAAGCCCAAGGGTCTCTACAATATCTGCACACATTTACCTGATTCACATATAGGCACTTCCTCATCATTGTTCAAATTTGCAAGCAGATTCCCCTCTCCTATAACACTATATTTATGTTTGTGTCTATGCTCTTTTACGCTTCTGATTCATTCTTGCAAGTGTTTGATGTACGTACAAAAAAATTCCTGTTTTCATATGCTTCCAGGATAACTCTCATCTACCCATGCTCCTGCACAGTACACAGGGTGTGCAGAAAATAAGGAGTGATACATACGTGTCAGTAATTAGAAATAGGATCTAAGGCAGAGGATAACAGTACAAGTGACACAACATCCAGGACATCATTCTAAGACAGACCAAGGCAGTATTGCACAATACATTTATTTTTAGTTAGAATGTTGGTACGTAAAAAAAAAAAAAAAGACAGGCAGTGGAAATGGTACCTTGTAGCCCAACACAGACAAAACAGGACTTCCTGCATCAGTGGCCTTTTCTATGTGGAAGTCATATAAGTAGATGTACAGATAAATTATTTCATGTTTCACTGCAGCAGATTACCTGCCACAATTGCTCTTATTCCACAATTGCTCATATTCCACTTCAACGCAGAGCAGGAAATCATTGTCTGTAGAATCATGGAATCTCTAGAGTTGGAAGGAACCTTTAAAGGCCATCTAGTCCAACTCCTCTGCAATGAACAGGGACATCCACAGCTAAATCAGGTTGCTCAGGGACTTGATACAGCCTTGCCTTGCAAGTCCCAAGGGGTCAAGGCATCCACTGTATCTCTGGGCATTCTGTTCCAGTGCCTCATCACACCTCATTGTAAAATACTTTTGCTAATATCTAACCTAAATCTACCCTCTTCGAGCTTGAAAACATTTTCCCTTGATCCATCACAATAGACCATGCTAAAGACTCTGTCCCCTTCTTTCCTTTAGCTCCCCTTTAGATGCTGAAAGGCCGCTATGAAGTCAGTTCAGAGCCTTCTCCAGGCTGAACAGCCCCAGCTTTTTCAGCCTGTATGTCTGGCAATGTGAATATCCAGTATGGAAATATAAGACAATATCTTGTAGCACCAGGCTGCAACAGCTTTGTCTAGAAACTGATAACATGCAAGCCAAACAAAGCTCCCATCTCCACAGGTCCTTTTGTGCAATGGCTGCTTTGCTATATTGGAAGTGTTTCAGTGTCTCCAGTGCAAACGGGAGTGAGCCTTAAATGATGCAAATGCTGTACAAAGAAAGCTGTATTCATTGATAAGTTTTTAAAAAACAACTATTGAGAAATGAACACTGAAGGTCTACTCTAACAGACTCCTACCTATACATAGAGGAAGAAAAATTAAATGTGCTGAATCAGAGCCTGTTTCAAATTCCAAACAAATATTGTGACCATCACAGTACAGGAGAAAAAAATACCCCAAATCCATTACCAGCCCACAGTCAGAAGAGCATGAAGCAATTGCAAAACAGGCAATCAGTGAGAATGGAGGATGGCCTCTGTCTATTCCCAGTAGCCATGTGTTAAAACTATGGTGTTGGTGTGTACAAACACTCTCAGTGAGTGCTTTGTGCCAATACATTATGAATACAAATGGCTGGAGGAGGCCAAATAATTGCAAACGTTAACAGCAGCGGTCGCCCTTTAACACAACTCAGGATAAATGCAGAAAAGGCAGAAGCATAACAGATTGCTTGTATGCAGAACTGGCGTTGACCGTCTGTTAACCTATGCTGCACCACTCTTCCAGGTTGACTAAAGTGCCGTGCGTTGGCAAGGCTCTCCACCTTCCCTAGCAGTAATAACGAAATCAACATCAGGAAGTTTAAGGAAACACAGCAACGCAATCTCTGACATCCTTTGATTTAGAAATTCAGAGCTCAGTATAATTGTGACCTAAGTACAATGTAAACACTAGAAAAACTGATTGCAATCTAAGTCACAAACCACTTTCGCACTCTGCTAGTTTAATTGCTGCTTGATTTCATGGCTGTTGTACTTGCTGCCCTGTGAAATAGCTACACGTTTTTCCTCTCCTTTTCATTCCCTTGACAATTTGATAGTCTATTTGCCAGAAGGCACACACTTTTTCATGCTGCCACACGGCTTCAGCAAGAACTGTTCCTCAGAAAAATATGTCGAGGATTTTGTTTCATAGGTTTTCAGGTTCCTTTGCAATGACAAAGAGTCTTAAGATGGTGGTTACTCTCTGTACCCCTTCTGCAAACATCTGTTCGTAACTCACCGGCAGATTTACACAGAGGACCCCAGGATGTTCTGTGGGTAGCGACGATTTCACCGATTTTCAGGGATCGAGCTGCATGGCATCTCTGCAACAATCAATTCAGCAAGTCGTGACTAATGGATAACACAAAACCTTTTGGAGAGTCTGTGAAAGCCCAGTGCTGTTCTGACCCACAGAAGTTTGTGTTTCTTAGTGTTATGCTTTGTTTCACTGAAGCCAGTAAATCAAAGTTCAAAGGAAATGGCATTAGGGAAATACTGGTTTAAAATCTGCAGTTAGATAGATTGGAAGACATGGCTGTGAACAGATTGCTCATAGACAGTCTCTTTCTTTCTGTTAACTCTCTGTTTTGGAGAAACCTTACAGGGGAATAAAGCTTCTCACTCTGTCTATGTGTGCAACACACAGCACATTCCTCTTCTGCACATCTCCTTGGCAGCGCCCTTCAGTTTGTTTGCTGTCCTACAAGGTACAATCTGAAGGTCTGTACTGGGAACAGCAGACTGCTGAGGTTATTCAGAAGATACTGTGGCTTTCCCAGAAATGCATATAAATACGGAGAAACATAAGAAAACAAGGAAGGGCAAGGGTGTCTCACCAAGCTTGACTGCACAAGAATGTCTCACCAGCGTTACCAGCCTGGTTACACTGAGGCACCTCTATAATCCACTGCCAGTAAGTGTCCATAGGCAGGCCAGTCCACCAAAAAATACCCCTGTAGGTGTGACTTTGGTCTGTTCTTGAACAGCTTTTCCATTCAGACAGATCCACAGCTAGACAATACGCTCACACAGCTATTCCCTGGTCAGTGGTTCCATGGCTCCTGCTGGTGGTGAAGCAGCCTTGTTCCACCAAGTGCATGGGTGGTGGCAGCACAGCTTTCTTCTTCCCAACCAAAGTCATGTTTCCTACTCATTTCTTACCACCGTACTCCTTAATTTTTTAGAGCATCTTACTCTCTTCTCCAAGAAAACAAGGAATAAAGAGTGAATAAGAAGATTACACAGAGCAAATAAGTCTATTACTCAACTCAAACCCAAGCAGCTAAACTGCTCTATCAGCAAACCTACCAGAAATGCAACTGTTTGATTCCTCATAGAAGCAATACCAGCCCGTTCAGATCCTGTCCTGCCCATCCCTCTTCTTCCCTTCCCTCTCACCTTCTTCCGCATCCTTTCTCAGCTCTGCAGGACACTGCTTGTGCAACCGTTCCGTGAACCTGGGGAGGGATCCAGCTCCCCACAGTGGGGCATAGCCTGGGGGTTGCTCATACACTGATACCTGATGCTCTAAATCAGCTGTGAAACCATCTTTCCATCTGTCAAATTTCTCAACCCTACCTATTTTATTTTTATCTTTTTTTTTTTTTTTTTTAAATCTGGGGGAAGCTTTATAGCTTGAGGAAGGAAACTAGTATCTTCAGCTTGCCATTTTTAATCTTTCAGGAAGAGATCATTTACTTTATGATGAGCTTAAGCTGAGTTATTTAGAATAGAGGAAGGTGTTAAACAATGGAGGAGTACCAAACTCTTAATGAAAATATCCTCAGTGGGAGAAAAATAAAAAAAAAGAAACAGGAAAGTTGGCAGACAGGAGGGAGAACTCCTGTGTAAAGGGCATAAAGGGGAAGAAAAAATAAAAAGGGAGGAAAAAAAGTTATCAGCAAAGCCTGATTATTATTATTATTATTTCATTTTCATGGTAGCAACACATTTTTAGATTAAGCAGTGTGTAATCTTCATGCAGAATTAAAAGGAAACGATGCTTTGAAGAACTGGAGGAAGACAGTTAGGAAGTGAACTTTTTATGAAAACATTGTTTGATTTACTACTCATAAAAGCAGCAGAGTTTTTAAAAGCCCTGTTAAAATCTATTAGATTCACAGCCCTAGAAACTTAATGTCGTGGTGCTTCCTCTCCTAGCACCTAAACCCTGACCTGGAGGAACAAATCTCAAGGGGAAGAAGAAAGGACAGAAAGGCATCCCAAATCCATTTGCTTAGACATTCTCACTGAAACTGCCAATATGGGTGGTAACTGTTTGTGACATGCCTATGTGATCTGACACATTTCTGAACAGCCTCTCTCGCAGGAACTTCTGCTCATTGCCTTCCAGCCACCCCTAGGATGAGGTGAAAGGTTCAGTCCCCAAGTCCCACAGCCTTTTAGCACCCATTGCTGTGCACAATCCACGCTTCTACCTACAAGGATTTGAAATAGGAAGAAAGGGGAGACACTTCCATATGGCTGTAGTTCTTCCCCATTCCCCCCTGCTCTCAGTAGAGGATGAAGGAGATATTTTAAACCCAGTTTGGAAACACGATTCCTTTAGTTACACAGAAGGACCGCACAAGGCACATCAGAGAGTAACAGCACATAGCAAAACCCTTACTGTCCTGCAGGTGCTTCCCCGTGTCTCCATGCAGATACGAATTTTGCAGTGTAGGTAAACTACAGAGTTGTTGACAAAGGAAAAAATCTTCATCTTAAACTGTGCTTTGCTTGAATTTCCATTCTCTAGAAGCGTGGTGTATGTATTTGGAATAGGACAGCTGAAAAGGAGGAGAAAATTACACATAGCAGCTATAGAAGTCACAGAATGGCCAGGGTTGGAAGGGACCTCAAGGATCATGAATCTCCAACCCCCCTGCCACATGCAAGGGCCACCAACCTTGACATTTAATACTAGACCAGGCTGCCCAGGGCCCCATCCAACCTGGCCTTGAACATCTCCAGAGATGGGACATCCACAACCTCTCTGGGCAGCACCTCACCACTCTCTCTGTAAAGAACTTGAATCATGTTGTGGATATAGCATAGGAAGGATAAGGAACTATTGCTGCTTTACTATCACAGACAGCAAATAGAATAGGAGATACAAGAGGTAGTTGTGGGGATGGAAAAGAAGAGAAAGAGTGCCAGAGAGCACTTAAGTTGGCTTCACCAAACACAAAGTGAAACCAACAACTTATTAGTGGGAATACTTTTTGTTGCTAAGAAAAATGACCATCCTGAGTTTTCAGATGGAAAGTGAACATAGGGAACATGATGTCAAGGTGAATTTGGGGATCCAGACAGGAACAAGCATTCTCCTTTACCAGAGGCTGCATTGATATTGTCTGTGTCGCTCAACCTACACCTTTCGTGATGAGAGTTACATAAGATCTTGTTAATATCTCAATCATAGAGATATGGGTAAAGCACACATTTCAAATATTCCTTCACTGTTGTCCATGAAAATCATCCATTCCTTCCAGTCATAGGTACAATGCCTTTACGAAACAATGAGGAAGATAACCAAACTCTAAAAATGACCACATTGCACTTTAAAAAAAACTTCTCTTCATACTTTGTTCTAATGTTTGACCAGTTGAACATTAAGGGATAGTGTATATAAATGCAGAAAACACACAGAAAAGATATTTTAAATAAAACACATTCACAGTTCACGCCATTGGAAGATTCAAGGTAGGGCACATATTATTTCCAAGTGACATTTGCTGTACCTGTTCTTGATAAAAGCAAACGAGAGGGGATCCACTGAATTGTTGGTCGGAGTTGCCCAGCAGTCAGTGAGGACCACTTTCAGCTTGCTGTCATCTCTCTGAATCCCCACTTCAATCAGGACATCATCACTGGCAGAGATACTGAAATTTTTTGGTATTGGGGAGTTTCCAATAAATAACTGCATTTCTGTTCTGAAGCGTCCTGATCCATGTAAATCCTCAAAAATAGTGTAAATTCTGAAACAACAATTTGATTTTTTTTTTTTTAAAGACCACAGGTTCAACTGCTTCAGTAAGTCATAAAATGGTGCCTCAAACTCTTGTGCATTTAAGTAGTGAAAAGTTATCTGCAATCTAGGATAGTACGGAAATGTTTAAGAGAAAAGGGGGAAGATGCATCAAGTTTTCTGCTGGAGTGTTAGGAAGCCTGGAAATGCAAGAGGAAGAACTCAAGTGTAGAATGTCATGGCAATACTAATAGAGCAGATAGATATTTGAGTAGTCTTGAAGGGCTACAAGACTATGATCTGTCTTAAAGGCCCAAATAAGGTCAGTAAAAGCTTAGCACAGAAGGTAAGAGAGGAAAAGAAACACATTTGAACAGTGTGTGAAAGACATTAGAAAATTAGACAGCTTAGAGAGAAGGGACTGGAGAAGGATTTGTACAAAAGGAGAACATTGACCAGCAGAGCAAAGCTTGAACTTGTGCCTTTTCTGAGAGCATAAACAGTAGATTTGATTCCATGTTAGTATGCTGCTACTACTTATGGCTACATGTGATTGCCCAGGAAGGCAAAGGGCAGGAATCCTGTCTCCCAGAGATGCACCAGTAGCTCCCAAAATTTTATTTTCATCTATGGCTTGTCCAGATAATGGTCATGCAGTACGCCAGCATTTCAAAGCACAGATACTCCTTACCCTTCTGCAGTGTATCCAGAGGAAGTCAAGAGATTGTTTTGAAACACACAATGAATAGGACTGGCAACTTTTAAGTGGTGGATTACTCCCTGAGCAGAATCATCATTCCGTAGCATGGTTTTCACTATGGTGTTAGTCACATTCTGGAACACAGAAAAAGAGAAAGCATAACTTGATCACTGCTCCACAAGGCAATTTCTGTACATGCAATTTGGCATGGTCTGAGTGAAAAATTTGTTTTGGGATCCATAGAGGCATCTACATCTAATTACTGGGAGGAACTGAGGTGTTTTCTAAGTATGATACTGAAATTTCTCTTAAGAAAAAAGAAGATTCTGGCAGCTGCAGAGGAAGCCCAGAGAGGTAGAAAACGGGGATTTTGGCTTGGAGAGGCTCTTGAGCTTTCCTGCTGAACGCCAGAGATGCTCTTTCTTGCTTGACCTCTGCCCCAAACACATGGGCAACTTTCTACTCACATTAAAGGGTTTTCTTTTTCCAAAGACATTAATTTGGCCAATACTTCAGCAATGAACAGACTGTACCCCTAGATGGGCAACTGCCATTGCCCCTTTCAGAGAGGGAAAGTGAGTGCTCTGGGTCTTCTTGGCTTTCCCTAGCTCAGGGTACTTACAGTCTCAACTTCCGTGCCACACTCGCTCCAGCCAGCCTGCAGCACAGCATGAGTGCCATTGCTGATGCTCACGTTGCAAAGAGGCTCCCCCAGGTACAGAGAGGATTCAGGGATGGATTCCTGAAGTAAAAATCCCTTTTGGATGGCAAGAATGGTCTTCTCAATTTCGCAGAACACTGTCACTGCATCTTTGATGGAAACCTCCTGGGCAGACTTAATGAGGGGGGCAGGAGATGCTTGAGGAGGAACATTGTAGGCTGACTCAGAACCCATGGTAAGAACAGGTAGTGTCACACTGGAGAATGGGGTGTCTTCCAGAGCTTTGTTTTGAGTAGCAGATAAGTTCAATGAAGCAGTGGAGGAAATATAAGTTGAAGTCACCAAAGATGCCACAGGTAAAACTGCGCTGGGTACAGGCTTCCTGTCCACCACAGTTCCCTCCTGGCTCCTAGGAAATGCTGAAGAGTAACAAAAATAAAGGTACTAAAGTAATTTACAGATTCAGATTGATTTGATAACACAAAAGCAAGCCTATCTGAGGAAACTCACAGTTACTGGCAGAAAGATAGGAAATACAGAAGTAGCCTTTTTAACCAGCTATACGTACTGCCACAGCTTTCTTTTTTTTTATTTTTGGCTTTTTTTTTAAATTTTTTATGTTTTTTAAGAAATAACCCATAAAGCACTTGCGAGAAAGGCCGAAGTGTTTTATCTCATGAGAGCTGCAATAACTAGTATGCTTGAGCAAAGCACATATACACAGCTTTTGGATGATCAGGACTTGCAGGAGATCCTCAATTGCAAACGTCTGAGCAAGTGTTCAAAACTTTTTGCCTCGTTCCATGGCACACCTCTGTCTGTGGGATATAAACAGGAGCAGAATTTGTTTAAAATTCTGGTCCCCTTTTGGGCGATTTTATCCAGAAAATATTATACTGAGTGCTTTGGAAACACCACTTATGAGGGACATGCAGGACAAACTTTATGCAGCAGGTCCATCTTGCACACATTTGCCTGGAGAGATACAGTTGGCAGTGAACGAAGACACTGGTTGGAATCTGTTATGATTCTAGGAAGAAGGCAAGCAGGGGAAAAGGAAAAGCAGAGATTGAGATCAGCATGTATGTCAAACACACTGCTTTCAGCACAGACTCTAGGGTTACCCCATGGCACTTTGGTACTAGAAATAACCTTTGTGTCTGACTCAGAATCAGAGAATGGTATGAGTTGGAAGGGACCCTAATAGACTATCTGGTCCAACTCCCCTGCAGTGAACAGGGACACCTACAGTACATCAAGTTGCTCAGAGCCCTGTCCAGCCTGTCCTTGGATGTCTTCAGGGATGAGGCTTCCACCACCTCTCAGGTCAACCTGTGCCAGTACTTCACCAAAAGACTTAGAGAGCACCTATATAATAAACTTAGTTTGCAGTGGAACGGGATGTGCCTCATGGCACAAAAATTCTCTTAAGCAGTTTTTAATTGACTGCAAATGCAAATAACATTTTTTTTTCCCAAGCAACGTAGATGTATGTATATGCACACATCCTCTGGAGCTTTCCAGTTTTCAGGAGTGCCCCAAATTGAAAAGTTGTGGATTTGAATGTAAGCAGAATTTGAAGTTTGTGCTCTTTCCAAGCTGAATTTCCCAAAAGCTCATTATCATAATAAATGTGATAGTTCAACAAAACAGAGCAAAAGTTGGTATCAGCTCACAGATCCTTGTGACTTCTTCAGCCAATGAGTAGCTTATCACTATGGCTGCAAAAACAAGCACAAATTACGGAAGAAGCCTAAAAGGATTTAGAAGCTCAAAAACTGATTATATGTCAGCTTACAAATGATTCAGGGAAAGACAGAAGAAGCTAGATGAATCAACTAATACAAAACAGTCATTTATCATACTGTACTAACTTTTCATCCCTGAGGCAATACAGAGATCATACCATGCAACTGCTTTCTACTACCTTACTGCCAATGAAAATAACATACTTCTAATGGCAAAAATGAGAAAACAGAACTAATAGAAGAGTCTTACAAAGATAGCATTAAACATTAATATAATCAAACGAGATTATTGCAGTCAGAAATACATAAACTCCACTGCAAGTCTTTCTCCATTAGCATGCATACAACAAATCAAATTCAACCTTGGCAAAATTTCAGGGCCTGTGGCAAGAATGACCTTGATCCAACAGTGCTCAGGGTTCAGTTAGCTATTAGATAGTAAGAAAAAATTGCCTGCACAGTTTCTTCCAGGTCTTTCTGGATGCACATCGGCAAATCCATCATTGCAACTACAGTGGTAAAATCCAAGTGTGTTATAACATGATGCATCTGGGGAGCAGTCGTCTTCTTTGTTCTTGCACTCATCATAATCTGTTGGGTATATTTAAGCAAAAGGCAAAGATGAAGAGTGTATAAATGGAAACATGGTATTTCTGAAGCAGGTTCAAGGGGTAGGCACCCCTCAAAGCACTACCATGAGTTAGCCACGATCTTAGAAATTAACCTGAGGTGCAACTTCCCAGATTCACCGTTGCAAGGATAACAGGCAACAGGAATGTACAGAGCAGGCCACGTACTTGCTTTTGATGTCATTTTGCCTGAGATTTTAATTGGCAGCTTGTAACAATAACATTTGGGCAAACTTCTCACATTCAGGATATATAACTTGATATTGCTTTCAGAGATGACACATCAGTTTGTGGAACAGGATTCAACAGCAGTTAGTCAGGAGACTACTGTTTGTTGTTACTGACTTAGATCTCATAAAGAAAAAGAGATTCAACAATAAACCATTGTGCTCATCTTGACAAACTGTTTACTTTCATCCGAACTCCTGGCCCGCAGGTGAGCAAAGGAAAGGCATACTCCCAGTGCAGGAATTTTCATTTATTTGAGCCTTGCATTTCTATCTTATTCAAAATTATCAGTGCAATGCAGAGAGTAACGTGTTTCAGAATAATTTTAAATGAAGTTAACTATGTCTGTGTACAATGACACGTTTCCACTGGTGGCTAATGAAACCCTCAGTTTGTTACAGTTTCTAATAACTCCATATCTTCCTTCTCTATAAAATTATTGCTAGCTAGAGACAAAGAGATGAGTTTGTTCTGATCAGGTGAAACCTCTCTTCTTATCTTTTGATGTTTTCTGAAAAAGCTTATTGGATGGATAATTAGAAGCAATATAAAACAGAGAATGGTTTCTCATCCATTTGTTTTACAGATATTTTCACGTAAAAAGAAACCGTAATAATAATAGGCTTTATGATCTTTCTAGTTCTGAAGAACAATTGGGCTGTAAGCAGCTCCTTACCGTTTATGGAGAGACTGTTCTTGTCAACTGTGAAATAGGAGCTGTGTTCAATTGCATCACGAAAAGTGGTGATGATGTAGTAGATATCCACATCTTCTGCAGTCAGTAAATGGAAACTTACCACAGTGCTCCCATTAGTAATATCATTTATCAACACTTTAATCAGACCAGCATCCATCTGCTGAAGGACGTCAAGGGGCAGAGATTTATGTACCTGGAATGAAAACAAAGTACACAATTTTAATGTGTAGATAGAATTTTAATGAGTAGATAGAAGCAATTATACTTCAGGCATTGTACATTGCCCAGAAAAGAATATTACGCATTACGATTGTGCTTCACACTCTGGAGGGAAACAACATTAAAAATTACTCTTTGCTTTATAATATTTTCACTCTATAGTAGCTAAAGGATAGGGCATATATTTAACTGTGAGCATTAAAGAAGTGATTAAGATACTTCATCTGTCATCTGGCACAACTCCTTGCAAAGGCCTCTGCTAGCAGCAGGGGAGAGAAGAAATTGCAAGAATGCAGAATCGTAAAATCACTTAGGTTGGAAAAACCTGTAAGATCAAGTCCAATCATCACATAACACTATATCTACCCCACCACTAAACCACATCCCTAAGCAACATATCTACATATATCTTAAATACTTTCAGGAATGGGAACACCATCACTTCACTGGGCAGCCCTTCCCAATGCCTCACCAGTCCTTCTGTGAAGACATTCTTCCTGACATCCAATTTAAGCCTCTCCTGATACAACTTGAGGCCATTTACTCAGGTGACAGGTGATAGGATGCAAGAATAGAAACTGGCAGCCAGCTCGCTACCATCTCCTTGCAGATGATTGTAGAGAGTGATGAGGTCTGCGCTCGAAATCCTCCAGACTGAAAAGCCACAGTTCCCTCAGCCATTTCTCATATGTCATTTTCTCATCCCTTTACCAGATTCACTGCTCTTCTCTGAACATGTTCCAATAAGTCAGTGGCCTTCTTGTAGTGATGGGTCCAAAACTTAGCACACTGCTTGAGATACAGTGTCAGTGGTGCTGCACAAGGGGACAATCATTTCCCTAGTCCTGCTGGCCATGCGATTTCTGACGCAGGCCAGGATGCCATTGGCTTTCTTGGCCACCTGGGCTCACTGCTGACTCATGTTGACCAGTGCCCCTGGGACCTTTTCTGTCAGACAGCTTCCCAGCCAGTCTTCCCCTAAGCCATGCTTCAAAGAGTTGTCATGACCCAAGTGTAGCACACAACATTTAGCCTTCTTGAACACCATACAAGGTGGATCACAAATCCTCCCTGAGCATCCAAGAGCCAGGCTAAGGAATGGCTCCACAACACTTTGAATGGGGACAGTCTCCCTCAAAGCAATGCAGTGCTAAGCCTCGACTGAGCTGAGGGCATCCTGGAGAAGTCAGTAAAGTTTATGGTATTGTATACAGTCACCTTGCAACTCACTAGCAGCCAAAGAGAGAAAACATCACCTGTGCCAAAATACAGCTTTGGGCAGCCTAGAAACAGCCTTGACAGTACACTAGAGAGCAGAACAGTCAGCTTTCTACAGGACAGTGCCACATAGCTCTGCTTGAGGTTTTGCATCTGTTGGGCTACTCAGCTTCTTCATCTCTCATTCAGAGAATAGAAATTAGAGAGCTGAAGAGAGTGGAGATGTAGATTTGACCTTCTCTTCCAGTTTTCACAGAATCACAGAATCATTGAGGTTGGAAAAAGCTTCTAAATCATCTCATCCACCTACCAATGTCTCCACCGTGCCCACTCATGTCCCTCAGTGACAGATCCACGTGATCCTTGAATACTTCCACCACCTTCCTGGGCAACGCATTTCAGTGCCTCATCATTTTTCTGAAAAGAAATTCTTCCTAATATCCAACCTGAACTGCCCCTTTTGGTACTTATGCAGGGCAGTCATCCATAGGAACATCTCCTCCTGTATTAGAGTGGCAATGGAACAAGTCTGTCAGGCACACATAAGAGCCCAGGGACAAACATCAATTTTGGCATTTGCAGCACCATTGCCCTCCATCTCCAGGCTCAGCACCAGTCAGAGGAAGAACAGACACAGGCCAGATGGCATTGTCTAGCAGGACCAAGCTAAGATGAGACAGAAGGCTGATAATTAGAGTACAGCTGTAAAGAGTATGTTGAGAAATCATTTTACACAGAAGGACAGACTTGTCTCAGAGAAACTGGAAAACATCCACAAGTCTTCCCTTAATTGTTTTAATCTGATTGCCCACACAGGACTGAACAGGATTCCCTTCCTACCTGCAGAGGTCCCCCAAGGGGACACAGAGAACACACACACACACAGGCTTGTACACCTGTCTGGCACCAGCATCCAACCACATTGCACACGGAGTGCAGTGCACATCCAAAGGCCAGGTGCCAGTGCAGGCACAGACTGTGTGATACCACCCATCAACACTGTGACTTTTTCCATTAGGTCTTGGGGATGCTCACAGAGGGGACCAGTAAGACCTCTCACGTCGGGGAGGTCTTACTGCATTCTTTCACACTTACAACTAAAAGGTGCAGTAAAAGAAAGAGTAGATCATCACTTCCAAGCCTGAATCAGGTGGTTCTGAGCTGTCAGTGTTATAATCATGCTTAGAAACTGCCAACAGAAATGCAACAGTAAACTGGCAGCTCACATCCCTGCTCCACTCTAAGACCATCTCTTCAGGATACAACAGGCACTTCCTTCCCTTGCTCAGCTTCCTAGAGCATTAAGGGGGTGGGTGGGGACTGTGCTGTGATCACCTCCAACCCCTTCTTCCTCTATACATCTCCTGCAGGAAATATCTGCAGCAGAAGGGCTGGAGCTCAGCCACGAGGTCAGACAGAGCTGGTGTCAGTGGAGCAATGCTCAGGGCATAGGCCATGACTGCTGCCAGAGAAAGCCTAGGAAGAGTCAATAGGGCAGCTGTGGGAGCTGACAAGACAACTGTCAGAATCCTCATTTCTCTCACACCTGTGCACATAGCCCATGTGCAGGTTTTTGGGGTTTTTTGTTTGTTTGTTTGTTTTTCCTGGATTGTCTCAGGTGACTACAACTCTGTGTCAAAACAGATGCATCTGTCCACTGTGTATTATCCAGCCAAGCAGACCAAGCTCTGCAGGCATGCTGTAGCCCTTTTTTGAGTTGCTGGAATTAATTGCATTGTATGGAGCAAACCTTCTGCTTGCACCCACAAAAGGGCTCCCACATACCAATAAGCCCTATGCAACAAAGCTTGCAGTGCCCCATGTGGGTGTGCAGGCAGAGCTGGGAGAATGCAAGGGGCAACCTCACTGGGAAAGCCTGGGCAGCCCCAAAATCCCTGTTCCCCTAAGCCACAGGGCTTCAGGACACAGTCCCTTCTCCCTTTCTGCCCTTTCACAACAATTTCATAGAATCATTAAGGTTGGAAAGACCTCTATGATCTCCCAACCCAACTACCAGCTTACTCCCACCATGCCCACTGCCCACGTCCCTCAGTGCCACATCCACAGGTTTCTTGAGCACCTCCACAGAGACGGTGACAGCACCACCTCCTTGGGCAGCCTGTGCTACTGCCTCATCTTTTCCTGAGAAGAAATTTCTGCCAATATCCATACTGAATTGTTGGTGGTAAGCTCTAAGATTTTGTATTTTAATCTTTTTTTTTTTTCTTTTTTTTTTTTCCTGAACTTCTGGACACTCGCTGATTTCAGAGAGAACTCAGTTCATTCCCAATCTCAACTCTATTTCCTTCCCAGCTTTCTTCTGAAGTTTTTTTGTTTTCTTTTATTGGTGCTTCCCTGTGACTTAGTTTTGGGATGCTTGGTTGGTCGCTTGCTTTTTGTTTGTTTCTGCCCTTATACACATTTTTCGTTACAGAGGACTCAGCTCAAAAAGCATCACTGTGATATTCATCTGTACTTGTATTTAGCCACTAGGTGACACTGCAAAACCCGTTATTCAGAAGACTGCCGGACTTCGCTATATGCACCACACCCTGGGCTACCAACATAATTGTTGATGAAGCAGGGCTTAAAAAGACTGAGAAGAGAAATTTTTAAAAGAAACTTCCATTTTTCTCACTAGAAAAATGAAATATCTTGTATCTGTTGTTGCTACTATTTCTGCAGCACACACAAAACACAGCAGAACCAAACCAGGAGAAATAGGTGTTCCAGAAGAGAACCCCAGGAGAGCAAGGCAACACCAGTAGAACAAATGCCAGTACCAAGCGAAGGGAATGACCCTAATAAAATAAGACAACTACACTCTAATTGTGTAGATGCTTTAATCCCTATATCAAATTTCACTGCACACTCAGATAGCTTTGAATGCAATTATTTTAAGTACATTAAGCTACATATAAAATGAAGGCTGTGTCAGTTTCAAATGAGAGGTCACCTTGACAAGGCATTGCCAGTTATTAGTTTCCCACTGTGTGTCAGACAGTATTTAAGACACTAGAATTCAAACCAATCTTTTGCATTTTGGAATTTAATACACATCAGTGAGCACATTCTCAATTCACACTTTTTGTATTCCTCACTCATTTTCTTGAGGGCAAGCCCTAGCTGTCATGATTTTCTTCTTGGCTGTAGCAAAGAAGACTAAAAGACTTTCTTACCCTTAGCTACGTTGTTCTTCAGGTGCAATACAAGTAGGATGATGGAGCTAGTCTGGACAATGACAGTGCAAATTGTCACATCAAGTTATTACCTTGCTTTCATCTACACATTATTTAAGGAACAGCATTTCTTTTTGCTGCGCTGCCAGTTTCACCACGTGGCATTTAAGTGCTGGGGCAGCTCTACACAGAAGACCATTATGCACATTAAGGCTTATAAATCCTCTCAATTGTAGATGGTAACTCCAAAGAGGTTTAAGTAAAATCTTCAGCAAAATTTATTTAACTGGAATTTGAGAATGCTTTTAAAATCTCTGAAACTTTCCCTTCATACTTTAAAAGAATCAATTTCTGGCCCTTGCAATCTGGACAAGGAATATGCTGACCTTTTTTTTCCTGAACTTCCCTTACTTTGGTGTCAAACAACATTTGTAATAAAACACTCATGGCACGTTTTGATGAAGTTCATAGAATCATAGCATCACTAAGGTTGGAAAAGACCACTAAAATCACCTAGTTCAATCATCAGCCCATCTCCACTATGCCCACTAACCTTGTCCCTCAGTGCCACATCCACACAGTTCCCTGGGCAGCCTTTCCAGTATCTTACCACTCCTTCTGAGAAGAAATCCTTCCTAATATCCAACCTGAATCTCCTCTGAGATTGTTAGAGCTATAGGCAGTGGCACAGGGGTAGATGGAATCATTAACACAGCTCACCTGTAGTTGGTCCACAGAATTGGAGTGCTAGAAAAAGGAGAGTGTGCCTTATAATCACAAGTATTCTTTTTCCAACTGAAACTTTGAGAACTGGGTAAAACCCACACAAAACCTAATCTGGTTCTTTTATATAATCATGTTACAGATTCTCCATACCAACTTGGATCCATGACTTGCTGAATTAAGGCATCCCAATGAGCAGCTCACAAAGAAAATACATTCATTTTAGCCCTTTTTAATAACGTGCTATTGCAAAATAGCCTCAGGCAGCAAGTGATGCTAAATGGAAGTGAGGTCAGTGGAGAGCTGCTCCCTCTTCACTTTGCTAATCACATCCCTTTCACTCTGTGGCTGCTTTTCTGATGTGACAGCTTGGGACTGAAACAACACAGAGAAAGCTGTGGTGTGCTAACACATCTAGAAAGATGCAAACCAGTAACAACCAGTGGGAAACCTATATGACATCTGAGAAAACACCATGCACAGCTAAACAGAGCACACAGTTTCCTTCTTAGGGTGTTCTCCAATTTCGTGTTGGTCTGACCTCTGCCTGACTACCAAGAGTTGCCAGTAAGTGTCCTGCAGAAGGTGTGTTTGCTGTCAGACTGTAGGTCTGACCACAGTGAGAGGCTGAGGAGACCTCTGCAGTGTTTGAAGAGGCAAACAATGGTCAGTATTGGATCTATCATCCAAGAAGGCAATAAAGCAGCCCAGCATAACCAGAGGTTTTCCAAGCACAGATGTGTTTGAGCAAACATCAGCAGGAACACACTTCTGATAAAATTAACCAAGAAATGATAAGAGCAGTGCTGTCAGAGGCAATATCCGGGCATTAAAAGTGTGCTGAAGGAGGAACTGACATGGCTGTGTGCTTTGATGTCCTGTGCTCTAATTAGAGGCGAGGGCAGAGGTGACTTCACAAGAAACCACACCCTTTGCAGATACAGGGTTACAACAATGGATGATTGGAAGCAATGTCAGCCTGTGACAAAGGGTAATAATGATCACAACGTTCATTAATACAGTGATGCACAGGGCAAGGTTAATGCAGCACTGTGCAAATATTCATTAACATTTCAGTGTATCCCTGGAGGAAATAAATAAACCTGTATAACCAGACACAGGAAGCAGAGGAAACAGAGGCTCCAGAGAATCCCAGATCCTTGTCTCAGCCTAAAACACTGCTGCAGGCTCACTCAATGGGAGTCAGATCTCATAGGTGCAGTGAGGGATGCTTATGTGGCATATACTCTTCATGGAAAAAAGATTACGCACGTGGTCACATCCTTTTTAGCCACTTACCTCATCAATAAAGAGCTGTGCAAAGTTTTGATATTCCTCACTGCTTGCATTGCTAAAGCTTGGTGAGTATTTCACATTTGTTATCCGCACCATTCCATTAAGTTTCTGGAAAGCTGCAGAGTAAAAAAGATGTCAATTGTATTACATATTCCATGGTTTGTTGACAGTCCCAAGCATGCCTGGCCACATGAGTACACACAACTGCCAAAGACCAGCTATCTAAAACATAGCTTCAGCACAGGTGTCCAGTAGCAGAGTCTAATTTTTCTGGCTTCTGGATGCTTCTCAAGAAGGACAGACTTCCCATATGACTTGGAGCTGTCAACTCTACCTCACATGCTCTGGGACCTCTGGAATGTTTCTCTATGGCAGTGCTAGGGCACTGAACTTCTCTTCCAACCTCAGCTCCTGTCTCAACTCTATTTGTATTGGGAACACACCAGCCCCTCTGGAGGGCAAATCTTTCCAAGTCCTTCCCTCTAGCCTCACAGGAAGGCTTGCCAGCTGCCTGGGATTACACTTCAACATTTTAGATAGTGTAAAATAAGATTAATCCAAGAGAGTAAAAATCTCCTCTCTGAAGCTGTGTGTGCTGAATCACATTAACATGATCTCAAATATTTTAGGTCATTTTTTGATACCACTGTTATTGGCATTATTACCACAGGCACTGAAGGTGATCACAGGCAGAACAGAAAGCAGAACTGAAGACATGATTCATACCTCTAGCATCTTTTTATTGGCTGACCAGACAAGCTGACTGATATCACCCAATCCCATAACCATCGTCACCCAATTACCTTCACATCTGCTAACAAATCACTCTTAGATTTAGCAAGTTCTAACACAATAATGTCATTTATGAATATGGGATAGTTTTTACCAAAGACTCCAAGAATGCAACCACCTAGCTAAGGATTCATCTTAAAATTATTTCTGAATCAGGTTACCAGTTTTGCTTTCTTTTGTACCATCTTACTTTCCTCCCTATATATTTCTGTCCTGATTTCAAGAGTACATAAGACATTAATTTCCAGCCCTGATACTGTCAGACTCCTACACTGAGCTTTACTCTCCACATTAACTGCATTTTGTGATGGAACAATAATGGAAAAGCAGGGCTCTGCATAGACTGTATGGATCACACTGCATCAAAGTCTGTCCTAGTCATACTGGATACAATCTTTTGAGCTGGGACAAGTGCTGGAAGAAGCAAGTGAAGCATCAAGAGAAGCATTGCAGAGGAGAGGAAAGTCATGCCTACTTAAAGAAGCCACAAAAAAAGGCTTCCTTTGTCCCAATACTTCTTAACCCCAAAGGAACCCTAACAACAACCACCACCATCACCACAAGCAAGATCAAAGACTTGGGGTTTGCTTTGTGCTGTGGATTGTGCTGCACTGTAAGCATAGGTATTTCATAGGTATTTAGGATATAAACCACTTTTATCTGATAGAGAGAAGGGAAAATGTTCTGAACAATTTTCAAATGGCTATATACAGATATATACGTATATAAATACATATATATATAGGTGTTTAAAAGACATGAACAGACTACGAAGGGTTGGTTGTTAATCTTCCAGGTCAGAGATGTTGCCACAAGGAGGAGCTCTATGTTAAATTTCACCAAATGTGGGGCTTTGCCCTCTCAATTTCCTGCCTCCAGTTGGTGAGACACTCCTGTGGTGCTCCTCTTGGTCCTCAGGAACAAGAAAAAAAGAAAAGCTAAAAAACTTAAGCAGTAAATGGAGCTTTTCAATTGAGGTCAATATGTTGAATTCAAAATTATTCTTTCTCCCATTTGGTCAGCAAGCTCCCAAACAGGTTACATGCCTGGCTCTGTTCCTCGGTCTTGCCAATGCTGGGCAACAAAGGATGCAACAAGAGAGAAGGCAAGAGAAGAAAAGAGAAACTGGCATAGCTGCTGTCCAGGACAGCAGGATGGGATATGTGGACTCTCTGGCACCAGTGATCAGGCCTGGTGATGTGCTGGTGGCATAAGAGAAGTTGGAGAAGTAACAAATCTGGATCCGCATGGCCGAAAAACAGAGTTTCCAAGGAGAAAAGTACACAGAAATCAGAAGAGGGGCTGGGGCAATGGAGACCTTCAGGAACAGGAGATTATAGGAAAGGGAAAAGAACAGAGGAGTATAGTTTGGGGTCAGGGAGATGTGGAAGGCATGATGGAAAGAGCAAGGATAAGCTGAAACAAAACATAAATAGATACCAGTAGCTAATGCACTAAAGAAAAAATATTTTCAGTGATGAGCAGACATGGTAGCATTCCTATAGCAAAAAAAAAAAAAAAAGAGAGAGATAACTGTGGGCTGCTGCTATAAAGCAAGTAGTGGCAGAGCAAGTAGTATATATTTCCATGAGCCACACTTAGAACACTGTATGATTTGCTTCATCTGCTTTGGGAAGAGGAAGTGTAACATCGATAAAGCTATCACCTGAAAGTGAAATTATTATGACATATTTAGAAAAGAGTACCAGTTCCTGCAGGGAAATGATTCTGACATAGACAGACTAATTTCAGCCACCTTCACCCCAGATCACTGAGAAAATTGTGCATCTTCCTGGACTCTGGGTGAAGTTTTCCTTCTCATGCAGTCATACTGCCATGCGTGCATGCCCAGCTGAATGCATACTCACTGTGGTCCATGGCTGGGCTTGGATTTGATCTGGGAGGCAAGGAGAAGCCTGGCAGAGCTGGTGACCCCAGGGCTGTGGTGTGATTCTCAGCCCAAGAGCTGTTCTCTCTTCGTGTCTGTGTGTGTGTGTTGAGAGTGGCACCGAGAATGGAAGCTCCTACATCTCCTGTGGCTGACAGAGCTGTGACGGGGCCATCTTGAGAGTGGACTTGTAGCTCTTCAAAAGCTGCATGACTTCCAGAGATATCGAAGACTGTCTGGTTTGATAACCTTGGCAATGGAGAACTATGTTGCTCTTGCTTGTCTATGCCAGTGGATGCATTTGTGAGAGTGGCCACTTGCTGCAATGTACAAGGAGAAGACTCAGCCAATGAGCTCTGCTGTGATGGATTCGTGGTGGTCTGCTGCTCTGCAGTCACAGCTGTGGGGCTATTGTCTCTGGCCATGTGTGGAGTCAGGCTTTTATTCCAAGTGGCTGGAGGAGTGCTGGTGGTGGAATGGTGGGGGTGTGTTTGCCTCTCACTCAGTGGCAGTACAGCAAGGTGGTGTGTGATGGTGCTCATCTCAGAGCCTGCAGTGATGGTGGGGAAGGCAGAGGCTGCAGAGCTTGCTTCAGGAGCAAGCTGTGTGCTGCTTGCTACTTCAAGGGCTGTTCTTTCAGTCAGAGGGCTCACGATCTCACCTGCAACACAATAGATGCAGCATTGGAACCTCAAACCAGACAAGGAGGCATCAGAGCATGCTGTGTCTGACCTGGAAATTGGGCTGAAACCACACAGCCGCATGCAATAGCTTTACAGAAACATTCAGTATTTCATAAATGCATTGCAGCCCATGTGATTTTTGTGGCATTGAACCTGTTTACCAGCATACACAAAAAAGCAGATTTGAGTCCTGAATCTCTTCTGGTTAGCAGGCCATGGGTAAATGCAGGGGACAAAATTAGCCACAGAGATACAAAAATAATATTTATCTGCAGTCGGTCTTTAGGCTAATCAAGGAGAAGTTCAGAGAGACTACATGCAAAGGTACAAAGGCAGCTCCAAAACAAATGTCTCATATTTTATTATTGTGGCCCATGACTTCAGAGGAGGATGTTGTGGAAAAGGCAGTAGAGGCTGAATCTTCCTGCCAATATCCCATTACATGTTGTTGCCATGTGACAGATGGCAGTAAGGGTCTGACATGGAAGGCCATATGAAGCAAAGGTGTGTCGCTGAATTCCTCTATGCAGAAAAAATGGCACCCACTGACATTCATTGATGCTTGCTGACCAAACAGTGAATGTGAGCACAGTGAGTGTCGGTGGCGAGTTTCAGCAGTAGTGACAGTGACAGTGTGTCATCTCTGCTGGTTCATACTGAGTGCAACATGTGGGCTCTTGTTAATTGCTGGCAAAAATGAGAGCTAATGTCAATGACTGTGTTGACAAATACTGTTCTGTAGCTGAGAATTTGCTCTATCAAATAGTGCTATTGTACTGTTTGTGTATGTTGTAATTTCTTGGAAATAAATGGGAGGCATTACTTTCAGAATAACCAATGTGTGAGTCCTACTTTCACGTATAGAGAGGTTCTTCTTTGGCCAGAGACTCCAAAGGTGCATCTCTACATATTTTGTGAGCTATATAAAAAGTTGCAATAAAAGCACAGGTAGAAAATTATAACTTATTTCAACTTTCGATGGCAAAGGGAAATGACATGGTAGTCTTCTGCTCACCCTCACAGTTTCTTCCAGGCCGGGATGGATTGGTGTCCACGGTTGTCTTGCATCTGCAGAGATATGAGCCCATCAGATTGATACAATGTGCAAACATGGAGCAGTCATTGTCGGTGGGAGAAGCACATTCATCCCAGTCTGTAAGATAAAAATGAGGAGATCAGTGAGACAGCCCCCTACCTGCATTGAGCTAGAAATCATCACAAGAAGTCCTTTATTCAGTATTTGAATTTAAGAATGTGATCAGTCATTTGCCTGACAGACAAGCTCTAAGTGATGCAGAACGCTAACGGCGTTGTTGTCAGGTCACATAAAAATCAACCTTTGTCCTTGTACACTTAAAAATATCTTCTCCAGCTACTGATTTTTTTCAGACTTTTTTTGTTGTTCTAGAATTAAACGCTTACTTGTAGTGAGAAAAATTCTGTGTGTCTGTACCAGGGCTACCTCATAAATACACAGTTCTGCATAGCATACCTCCGTTAGTAATGGATAGTTCTGTTACCACTAGCTATCATGAGCTAGAATAGTAAATAGGAACTGAATCCAAATCATTTTCTGCTTCAAATAAAAGGTAAATGCAAATAGTAAGCACTCTTCATCTCTTAACAGAGGAAGTGCTAGGGGAAAAAAAACTCTTCTTATAAATAATTTATTTTCACAGGTAACACTAAACAGACGTGATTCCCTCTGGGACAGTCTCAGAAAAAAAACGTCCTAGCTCATCAAGGCATCAATATGCTATAAGGGTGTTCCTTAAGTCTGATTTCCACCACTGTGAATGCATTAGAAATGCTTCTCCCATAGGGTCACAGATCAGTTTTATGGCTGAGTGCCTTCACTCCTGAAGAATTTTGCTCTGGAGTCTCATACCACCACTTGCACACTGTTCCAGTACACAGGCAAAGGATGAGTTAACACTTTGCATATGAACAATCCCACTGAATTCCATGTGACCACTCCCTGTGTGCACTCACTTGTGCATATGCATTCACCTGAGCAGAGAGCAGAAAACTAGTCTGAGTGCCATCTCTTGGGTTAAATAATTTTGATCAGAGGCTCAAAAATTGTTCTGAACAATGTGTTATTGCAAGTACTTGTTCTGCAAATATGCAGAGATTAGTCACAGAGATTAATTCTCAGAAACAAAGGAAAGCCCCAGTCTAGAAAGAGAAAGCACAGAGCATGTGTGCATGCACATACAGGCATGCATCTCTTTGCTTGCACGCAGGCTTCCCCTTTCCTCCCAGTTCATATTTCAGTTCTTTTCTCCTTCTTCCTCATTAGATAATTGGTGTATCCATGATTGTTTCCATTAGGTAATTCCATGTGACTGTGGCCAGCATCTGGGTATTAATTTACAGCCTGAGCCACTCAGGGGGAATGCAAGAGCACACAGGACTTACTCCAACACCAGCAGTGGAAGTGCTCTCCCTCATGACTTATTGTGCCATGAGGTAAATGTGACTCCTGATGGCTTCAGACACCATCAGAGAGATGCTCAAATGCTAATGCCAAGTAAGTTACATTCACTGGTTCCATTGGCTCAGAGAGTTTTCTTTCCCATTACCTAGCAGGGCTTTTTAAGCAGACTTCACTTCTGAAACCACATTCAACTACACATCAGGCCAAACACTGATATTGTCTTCTCTGTCCTCCATAGTGCTAGCACATGCACTTGTATACATGCACACACACACATGCACAGACACACACAGACTTCCTGCACCTGCCATATTGTTTCACTTCTCTGGGAATTGGCTCCTGGTGCTACCCAGGACATGATATTGCTATATTGACCTTGGGCATGACTCCACACGTCCCTTTCTCTTTCCTTGTCATGCCTCATACAACAGACAGCCTCTTCAGTGTCTCAATTAATCTTGGCAGAAAGTTTCATAATTGTATGAGACTAGAAAGAGGGATGCAAAACTACGCCACTCCCTGAAGTTGTTCTGTCCCTTCTGACTTTTCATCTTTGCTGTTCCAAAGCAAACTCCCTGCTCTGCCACTGTCACTAAGCCAAGCACACCAGCCTACTGGTGGCCAGGCTCCACAGAGGTCCAGGTGGCATTGCTCTACATATGTAAGAGGAACACTGTGTGGTCTTACTACCAGAGGGCACACTCCAGGATTCTCAGAAGTAAGGAAATGATACAGCCTTGAGATCTTCCAGTATCTCTTTGGAGATCTTCAGCAGCCGCTTGGACATGGCCCAGGGCACCCTGCTCTGGGTATCCCTGTTGGAACAGGGGATGGGCTAGGTAGACCCAGAGGTCTTTTCCAACCTCACCCATTGTGTGATTCTATGTTTTCCTCAAGCACTGCACTCCTTGGTCTTATTTTCCACATTTGACTTTAAGAAACTCATGTCAAACAAGTGCTTCTTTGGGCATAGCTAGGAAATAGATACCTTTACTGTAGCCCTAGGGAGGATAAAGGAGAGTGAAGAATTTGGCTGCACTCATGGATTAGAATGCTGCTACTGGAAGCCATCTGGCTTTCTGCAATTAAAAAACATCCCCAAAATATTGCCTTCTTCTCCACTCCTGCATACTCCACACTCAGACTTCATGTGCAGCCAGGAGAATATCAATATTTGTAAGGGATGTTGGCTCACATCTGCATCTTGCAATTCAGTTCCTGCTGGTGCTGTGATATTTGTAGGCTTCAGGTGCAATTTCTCTTCTGTTTTTTCCTGTCATCCATATGCTCTGCAATTCCAAAGGGAGTTTTCCCTGATCACAGCAAATAAGCTTTTAAATGCTCAGTGCACCAAGTGAGAAGAATAGCCCATTCTGTTGACTTTGGCAACTCTCTAAGCTCTGGCTGGCTCTGCCAGCTGGGAAACCTGAAGCCAGAAACGAGTCCTTTGTAGATAAAAATGGTGATTACTGAAGATCAAACAAAGGCCCAATTTAACTAAATTCCATACGTGTTTCTTCAGTCCTATTCACTGAGAGGACATTTGGGAATTTCTTCAGCTAAATTTCCTAAACCCTGGCCCAAGTTCAGCTCCGCAGCCTTGAAGTGTGAAACTGCCTAGGAGGCATGAGTATCTAAAGGCTAGAAATACTCCAAAGTAATCCTGTCCTCACTTCAGGGCAAGGAAAATACAGCAAAATTCCCCCAGATGACAGAGAGGAGAAGAGAGGAAAATCAATGGGGAAACAGTGGAATCCTCTGCTCCTTGAGCATTGTGGAGGGTAGTGTTGCCTGCAGATACCTGAGGACAGCCGATGCTCCTTCTTGTCTTCCCCTCCAACAAACCATGATTAGCTCTGCACACTTTCTCTCCCTATTTTCAGGTAGAATGCTGGTGATGCTGCACACAATCAAAATATCAAATACTGTTCTGCTATTAAAATAATAATAATTTTAAAATTACCTTCTACTGTAGAGTTCTGCTGATCCACCAAAAGTACGGAGTCGTTGTACAAGTATGAAAGCATTGGAGCAAAGGAGGAGGCATTCACTGGAAACCCAGGATCCTGCACTGCAATTCTGAGTCTCACAATGACGCTCCCAGCTCGCAGGGATTCAATCTGCACTTTCAGTTTCCCAGATTCGTATAAAGCAGAAATGTTGGGTGGAAAGGAATTCCCAATCTGAGTTGAGTTAGAGAAGCATTGGCAATTAGGAACTCAGCAGCAATAGCTGCTTTTTAAAACTGAGCTATGGTGGTACCATTTCTAAAGACCTACATTCCTAAACATTAGTAGGAAATGTGGTAAAAAGAAAAATTTTCAAAGTGTTTCAGTTATTATTTAGGTACATAGGAGTGTGTAGCTCCTTGATGCACTCTTGAAAATGATATACATCTTACCTCTTATCTTACAAACCAAGCTCTTTTCTGGTTCAAATAAGCAGAATTCCTTCTGCCCCAACTAATCATGCTTTACAAGATAAGCTTGCACGCATTACACCCTTCAAGATAGCTCTGCAGGTCATACAATCTCTCATGTCCCAAGACTCTCCTATATTCGGCTACATAGGAAATGAGGGAGAGCTCCCAGGAGCTGGAATTTGGTGATTTTGGCATCTGACAGCTACAGTCCCTCAGGCAATATTCAGGTAGACTTTGGCACTTAGCGCAGGCCAGGGGCTGTCCCCGGTAGGCAGTCTGAATGTGACCACCACTAGAAGACCCAACTGCAAGATGTAGGCTGAGTGTGTGTTTGAGCTTTTCATTCCCATCTCCAGCTGAAAGCATGACTTTGAGTGTGCAAAGTAGCACTATAAATCAACCCAGCTTCGGTCCCATTCAGCCAGTTTGCTCAAAAAAAATCCTACAAACAAGCTATTTAAGTGGTCCACATTCAAATCTGGGCAAGGATACAAAAAAAAGAAGAAAAAAAAAAAAAAAAAAAAGAGGAGAGAGGAAAGAGGGAAGGGGATACCATGCTCCCAGTGCAGGAAAAACAACACAGACAGACATTATTGCCTTTCCTTCCCAACTGTGCAATTCTGATTATGTGATTATGTCTGAGTCAGCCTCAGAAGAGATGCACTAAAAAAAAAATGCTCCTGTGCAACAAAAACAAGCACTATGGAAAATAAAACTACATCAAGAGATTAGACTTGAAATTTCTAATGAGTAAACACCTCTTCTGGACTGTCTTTGGAAATACAGCTCCACTGTTGATGCTCTTTTTTTCCCCCCCAGATTTATATTGACATATGTTTATGGCTTGGGAAGCTGAGCACTGGAAACAGAGCTGATGACTGATGCCTCCTTGGTGGCTGACTATACCTGAGAGTTGATATTGGCTGCATGTGCACATACAGTGAATGGGGATGGAGAAGAAAGCCTGACTCGGTCACTTTTCCTTAAAGAAAACTTTGCAAGCAGCCCAACACTTACTGAGAAGACAGCACTGAAACAAATGCCAGCACTGTCATTTCAATAATCCATTAGAAAGCCTCAAGTCAATTTAGTGAGAGTTTACTGCTAAAGATCCAAGAAAAGGAGTCCTTGTGACACACCTGGATTTTTAATTCCTTTACTCTTCTGTAAGGGAAAATTCTTGTCTCCATTGCTAATAAGACCAAGGATTTGATCTCTTTCGTCAGTTGGATTTTGTGTTAATTACAAAGAAAGATCATAGGAAACAATATTATGGTTTCCAAGGGTTATTTCAGCTGGGCACAAAATCCTTCATTGCCTTAAATAAATTCTAAATTGAAGAAAAATATTTTACCCAGAGATATTTTAACATTACCTCTGTAAGCAGCAGCCTTGAAAATTCTTCATATGCTGAGCTGCTGGGATCATGGAGATCTTCGGTGAAGTTGTAGTTGAGAATCCTCACAGTAGCACCAAATATCTTAGCCTCTGTGGTACACAACATCAAAACGCATAACGACAAATCAGAGAAGATGATTCAGTCAAAATGGATGCACCCAAACCAAAATACGAAATGTAGAGAGTCCACAAGAACATGGTGTCAGTCAGCACACCTGATTCTGGCATGGACTGGGTAAAATGATTAAATCTGGAAGTGAATTTCAGGTATTTTTTAGGCCCAAATATATACCTGAATGTGCAGGTATATATTAAGAGAAATATAGCTGGATGAAAAATAATAGTATTCAAAAGAAGTTCATTCACCTCCTTATATTTTGTTTGCTTTGTTGGCAAGTGAGAGTTTGGGATTGAACCAAGAAAATAAAACCAATATTCTGCTATAGCCCCCCATGCACTTACATCAGGCCCATAAGGATATATTTAAGGATCTATTTACCTGTTTTAACATTTTGATGGGAGAGGATGGATTTTCCACAACTTTTGTAGCTGATCTCTATTGAGTACATCACACCTGCTTCCAGTCCAGATACACTCATTTTCACTTCATCTGTTCTCATGTTTTTTACAATCTCCTTGTCCCTGAACACTTGGACTTGGAAAGTATGGTTTAGAGTAGATGCGACATGCCAGGACATTTCAAAGCTGTAGCTGGTAACGCTGAAGATTCGATGGTTTGTAATTGCAGAGGGATCTATCTCAGGAAGAGTCAACACATTCAAAAATGACATTTAATCGTTACAACACCACTATCCTAAATCCATTATACACAAGCACTTTTACAGTCAATAGGGGAAGCTCCTCTTTACATCACGTCAAGACAGATTTATCCCTTTTACAGTACAAAGTTCGCTCATCCATGAGCCATCTCACTAGAGTGAATAATTGCTGGATGTTTGTTGTTTTTATTTCCCTTCACCATACATATTTGTGTTGAATCAATAGTAACACTAATAATCAGGCAGACTGCTGCAGGTTCCGGCAGAAGAAACAAGTTTGTAAGAGTGAATGTGTGTACTCTACGTGAGTTTACATCTGCTTTGCTTGTCACTTATATCATCAAATTGCACCCCCTCAGGCAAAGGCTCTCTTGATTTATGCCTGGAAAAACACCACTGTCTGCAACTTTTACAAACTGGGAGTGAAGTGGGGGCATGTATTTTACCTGTTTATGTCATGCTAGTCCAATGCTATCACCGTCATGTCAAGGGGAAAAGACTGCCCTTCAGAGGAGATTCCTCTCCTTGAAGTAGTAGGAGGTATCTAAATGGAGCAGGGTGAACTGCCCTCTAGCAGAGCCCTTCCACCTCCACTAACTAGAGGGAGAGCTGAGATGACAGTGTTAGACTGGACACATTTCCCATAAACAGACAGGGTCAGGTTGGTCAAATATCAGCCCACATGCTAAACTGGAGACCACAGTATGCTGCTTCCACAGCATCTATTCCTTTGTGCTAATGGTTGCCTTAAGGAAAATGGGTTGTTTTCCTCAGCTATTATAATGGGACATCACTGTTGTCAGGTCTCTGAGTAAGGGGGCTGCCAAAAACCCACAAGGTGATGCCTCCCTCCTCTAGAGGGACTTCAGTCAAACTTCTTTAGCTACATCTCAGATTAGAAGCTGCAGAGATGAAGATCAAGAAAACGTGGCCTGTCTCTGTGAACTAGGCAAAGAACTACTGACAGCTATTTCCTCCCACAAGAAGAACAGGATGTTGTTAAAAAAAGATTGTGACCACTCTCATTTGAAAGGACCCATGTCACTGATACAAAGATAAATCTTTCAGGCTTTGTTTCCATCACAGTCCCCCAGACAGCTGTAATGCATAGCGGGGAGTATTCACAAAGGCTAATTCCAACATAGTGTGGATGTGGAGAGCTTCCCTGACCCATCTCCATGGACTGTGTCCCAGAGTCTTTGGCCAGGAGGAGCTCCTGCACTGACAGCAGGGCAAGTGCCTCCATCCTGCACCTCTATACAGTATAAGCTCAGGACATGCATTCAGTAGGGCCCAGCGATAAGTGGTGCCAGCCTTCCACTGCCTTTGCTGGTATGCTTCCTCACGCTGCAGGATTTGGATTACCCAGACCAAGTCCCATGATGGGTCCTGCCATTGGACAGCTTGCCAAGCATCAGTGGCTCAGTGAGCTCAGCGTGATCACCTCCTCTTCCAAAAATACCACCATTTTTGTGAACGCCCTCCTGTAACTCAACCAGCTCCAGAAAAAAAGGGATCACAGAGTGCCTGAGTTAAAGCAAGGCAATGTTCATTCAAATCCAAAGTCACTTACAGCATCCAGCATTGGTAGATTGGTTAGTCATGGACAAGAGACTTGAATTACTTATAGATGGAGAGCTACTGCTGATGTTAATGGGATCCAACTCTGAGCTTGGAGTGGATGCTGCCATACCTGAGGGGGAAACAGCATTATCAAAGGGTTAATGTATTCCTAACAAAGCAAATCTAAAGCAATATCATTTGCACTTCCAGCAGCTGAAAAGCAGCAATAGAAGTATTATAAATAGAAATTAAAATAACATATTTTCATATCACATAAGGATAAATCAATACATTATCTTAATTTTTGAAAGGATTGCAAAATTGTTTTCTAACAAAATCGTTGAATCTGCAAATGCTTACTTATTCCATTATCTTTAAGCCTGTTAGCAGGCCTATTGGTGTCTGAGCATGCCTATGTATTTTTCTGGAAAGAATTATTTCTCATGTTGCCCAACTCCAGCTGCTTCCAGCAAAGGACTCAGCAACAGAAGATGGGGTTGTACCATGCCAGAGTCAGGCTGCAGTCACATAAAATGGGAAGGAGACTTCAAGTGCAAGTAAAGTCCCTAATCATAGCTGCCCATGGCGCTGGGGAGGTGTACTGACAATGAATGACACATTGTCAGGGCCTGAAGCCAGACACTTTGTCAGGTGAGAAAGGACAGCTGAGGGTGAGGCATGACAAACAGCCTGGATCTTGGAAATAAGTGCACTGCATTTCATCAGACATAGCCAGCAAGATGGCTCATGCAGCACTTCCTGCCAACAAGAAGTGGTCCTGTGAGATCCAGAAACAGGTGGTTCCTGCAGAAGCATTCTCAGTATTACCCAAGGTGAGACCTACTTTTCTTACCATCTTTTCTTGTGCTCAGCTGGAGAGGGCTGACATATGCTTCTTGGTGCTCAGGGCTGCAGCTGTAATAACCCTCCATATTTACACAGGAATTTTGCTCAGGGCAAGCATTGAATTCTGCATAGGAACATTCATCAACATCTAGGAAGAAGAATACAGCTTATACAGATACTGATAGCAGCATCAAGGCTGATCTGCTCTGACTAGGACAAATTCAGTGTAAATCTGTAGTAACTGCTGATACAAATTCAGATTTATATCTGCAATTAAATATGAATTTGAGGGACATGGTCAGTGGGCATGTTGGAGATGGGCTGATGATTGGACTAGATGATCTTCATGGTCTTTTCCAACCTTAATGATTCTATGAAATCAGAATGCTGCCTTTTCCTGAAACCAGCCCCCATTCACTTATAAGCCCACTACTTTTTACTCAGCATGTTTGGATTAAGATGACAGTTAGCAGTTCTTTCTCATAGTTCCAGGGTGTCATTCAAACCGGAGTGAAGTCAGTGATGGAGGAAGAAAATCTGCCCGGAGATCAGACTGAATGCTGACTGAGTCAGCAAATACAGAATAAGAACTAATGACAAACAGTATTTATGGATGCGTGTCAGGGGTGAAGATGTTCAGATAATTATGCAATAATAAAACACATTTAAATACTTACGTAATGCTCAAAGAAGTAGATTAATAAACAGCAGTAAATAGCAGACTACAAATACTCCTTATTTAATAGAGTATATCTGCCTCCCAAGAACAATGCAAATACTTAAGAGACTGCTTAATACAACTAATGTTTGTGCTACAAACATGACTACTTGAATACCTAGTAAGAGGGGAAAAAAAACAACTGAGGAAGCATGATCATGCCTTCCAAACTATTCACTCCAAAATTAACTACAAGTCTAACTTCACCCTATAATATGTGGTTTCAGTAATCTTTGCAAAATTTACAAGATTCAGTATGACTATAAACCCATGGATTCAGGTTGGATATTAGGAAAATGTCTTCTCGGAAAGAGTGGTGATCCAGTGGCACAGGCTGCCCAGGGAGCTGGTGGAATCACTGTCCCTGGATGTGCTCAAGAGCCATGTGGATGTGGCACTGAGGGACATGAGCAGTGGGCACGGTAAGGATGGGCTGATGGTTGGACTGGGTGATCTCAGTGATCTTTTCCAACCTTAATAATTCTGTGATTCTATAACTGATAGTCATACAGATAAATTCCCAAGTGAAATGGAACTCCTTGAAAAGGCTTCCCCCAGGGCCAGGATTATAATAAAAAACCTTTCACATCTGTGTCAATCACTTCATATACACGCTTAACCATGTTCTTCAAGGAAGAAGAAACCTCTGCTAGTGGAGCTGGTTGATGCAGTCCAATCAGAACTTGAGAGGCCACTGTCCCAGCATACATTTCTGCATAGTTACTCTGGATATGGTGCACAGAGGTATTCAAGGGCTGTAATGCACCAGTAATCTGGAAAATAGGTGAACAAACCTTCATCAGTACAGATGTATGCCAATAAGGCATAACTTATGCAATGACCATCATCAGAAACTGAGTGTAAAAAGCACCAGTTCAGTAAATTCAGGAAAGCAGCAATATTTAGGTCTGTATTTGAGCAACGTGAGCTCTTCTTATTATCACATTTTACAAAAGTATCTTGCCCCTGCAGATCATGAAATCCAGAACCAGTCTGTCATAAGCCCAAAGCTAAGCTGAGCTGGAGCTGCAGCACGCACTGCTTAGACAGGAAGAAAACTCTGTTTCAGAACATGAAAGCTTTCTCTGCTCCTTGGCAAAGACCAGAAAAATTTACTTAAGGAGCTACTAGATCAATTTTATTTAAGCTCCATGAGGATGAGGCTGACATTCACCAATTAGGAATACATTTGGCCCAAACTACATGAGGAGCAGCTGGCCAGGCGGTGTCCAGCTCGTGGGACCATGGGTTCCCTCCTAGACTGAAGTAAGTGGTAATCAGCGAGTAACAAATGTGTGGACATGATGAGCAACACATGAGATCGCTTGTACTCATACGTACCATGGAATGCAAAAGGCGTGAATGATTCAGAAGGTGGGAATCCACTCTAATTAGTTCATTAAAATCCATTTTCACCAGGACTGTCACGTTGTACCAGAACATCCTTTCTGAAGTGTACAAAACAAAAGAGCCAAGTCATCCGAGGTGTGATGCCACAGAAAGCTACAGAGCTGTAGGAAGGCTCTGAGAAACCAAAGCAAGCTTTAACTTTGAGATTACCAAGGGTCCACACGCAGCCATTGGCTTCTGCTCCAGTACGCTGCAGGCAACAGTGCCAGCTGAGGAGGAGAAGCCATACAAAGTCCAATGGACTCATAGCACACCCTGTTCAGCCCCACAGGCACAAGCACAGAAACCAAATTTCCTGGAGTTGACCCAAGGCAGATTCCCATGTTTGCTTTATAAAGAACTATGGTAACAGTTGTTCTGCCCACTCCCACCCTCAGAAGGAAAAATTAAGCACATTTCTATTAGAAGCAGTTTTGAATTTATCAGTAACATACCCTCTGGCTTTGGATTCACACAGATTGCTCCCTTGGATGAGCTGCAGCATTTTTTCAGCCCTGGACATTCAGCATCGAACGTGCAAGAATAATCAGATGTTTCCATATTCTCCATTGGACAAATACCAGGTCTTGAGGCAAATACACTGGACCTGTTGAGCGCTGAGGAACAAAAACACTTCTGAGGACAAAAATATAGAAAATTATTTCCATAAAACTGCTGTTTAAATTACAGCAAACGTCCTTTCACATTTTAGAAATGTATCCTTCTGTTAAGAGATTTTCATGAGGAAAAAACAGCAGTCTAAATGCCATTATTTCCTTTAAAGGATGTAAAAATATTCAGAATTTTTGAACTGATAATTTTCCATTAATGATAATGTATAGACAGACAGACAGACAGATAGATTCTAATTGTGGAGAAATTGGAGCACTACATGACAGAAAACATACTCAGTGCCAGCTATGACTAATCCAAATAATACATAATGATCAAAGTGAACAGGTAGTGTCTATGCTAGAAATCTGGAGTTTTCATTTAACCATTTCCATTCGTTTGGCTCTAACAAATTTGTGATCCTACAAACTCTTGATTAATTTATCAGGTAATTAAAGTCAGCTTGGAGAAAAATGAGAACTATTCTCACTGTAGGAGAAGGCTGCAGTTCAGGAAAACCATTTTTGAAATAGTAAAGTCCACAGTACATGAAAGGTCTATAGCAAATTACAGACCCATCATGGATGCCATTTCTGTGGGTTTTCAATTTGTCATCTGAAGGCTCTGAATAAAGCTAAATCTGAGGTTTCCAAGAAGTAGAAGGGAATACTGAATCTATGTCTTATGGCCTCAGCAAAGTAAGCTTCTTAAATAAGCAAATGATGTTGATGAGTCAAGTTTTAGACTAAATCTCTGACACTTGTGGCTATGTGCACATGCCAGGTTCCCTTCTCAGCACAGACTAAAGCCTATTGCATATGGAGAGCTTTGACTTTGTAGTCCACTCCAGAACAGATCTCATTTTTAGCACTCCAAATCCCCAGTTCAATCTCCAGTCATGGGATAAAGCTCAAAACACACCACACAATATTCAACATGTGTAATTTTCAGCCATTTCTGCAATAGGGCTTCTAGTTGTATTTGCATAAATAGTCCATTATAACCAATGATTTTAATCTGTGCTTTTTGGGGGTCCCATAATATGCTTCTCAAGGATAATTAAGAAAAACAAACATCATTTAATGACAAGAATCCACACTTCTGAGGCAAAACCTGCCAAAGCCCACAAGCTGAGAAGAGTGTAGGCACTGAGCAGAGATCCTTTGGAAGTTCAGAGGCTAAGTGAATGTGTATTTTAAAGATTTGTATGCAGCATATATGGGAAAGCACCTTTCCACACCTTTATATTGCATGTGTATACTTTGCGTGCACACCATCAGGGAACACAGATTTACTGGGTCTGTGAGTAGTGTTTAAGTAGAGCTAGTGTTTGACCCCCAACATCATCAGGTAGCAGTTAAGGAAATCCTATCCTGTGCGATCTGACCCAAGATTCTTCTGTGTCCAGCAAGTTTAGTAGTCCTATTCTACTTCCTAGAATGGACCAGGATCTTCTGCTGACTCTGGGACTGATTCCACATGCTTTTCCCCCAGGAAGATCCTACTGCTAGAAAGCCTCCTCCTGATTTCAGCTGTAGTTTGAATAGGTTTGAGGTTCAAAGCAGCTTCTTCCACCCAGGTCCTCTTCTGCAATATTGAATCACGGTATAAACCATGGGTGTCCAACAGTTTGGCTTGCTTGGGCTGCACTGAGTGAAAGGGAATTATCTTGGGCCACATGTAAAATATATAATATAGTTAATGTAAATAGTAACAATAGTTATTTTTAAAATATATATTCTATATATTTCTTAAAACATTAAAAAAAAGACAATAAACACATAAAACTAACGGGTCGGACATGTATGGTGCAAGCAATCTAGTGGGTCACATGCAATTTCAGAAATCACTGCTGAGTTCTGGCTGGGTGCCACACAAGCCATTTATCTAAAATCTAAAGGCCATCATTTTCGCATCAGTGAAAACAAGGACGGATTCACTTCACATTTCCACCTAATTGCAACTAACTCACTTTGCAAATTTGATTTACACTTTCCCTTCAATCAGCTCAGGGCTGGTCACCCAGAGCTATGCAATCCACTAAGCTAGGGAGCAAGCTGGCCAAATGGCCCATCAGTCAGAAAACAGATAGTCTTTCCTCCCTCATTTTCTCCATAAACATGCAGAGAAAGAGACAGAGCATCCAAGGTTCAGCAACTGAAATCACCAGTCAGTGCCCAGGAGAGCTGCAGGTATGTCCCAGGCAGTGTGGGAGCTGAGTGGCACTGCTGGCTCAGCCATAGCCTCCATCTAGTCCTCTTTCCACACAGGTGTCACACAGAGGGCTGGGCACCAAAACACTGCATTCCTCTCAGGCATCAAAGAGGGGAGACAGATATATGATGTTCCAGAAGAAGCTCACTGTCACCATCAAGGGCAGCAGGCTTCACACTCCATACTGTGCTGAAGGCAGCACCAAGTGCTCTGGGGATAAAAGTAATTAAGTGAAAAAGAGGAATCACATACTGAGTGTCTCAGAGTGAGCACAAAATGATGAGATCCAAACCTTGCTGCATCTGCGAAAGGCAGATAACATCCTTCCCTTCCTACTGCAGTGTGAAAATAAAGTGCTGTCTGGGCATCACCCTGGGATTCACCTCAGGAGGTGATAAATAATTCTCTGCTCAGAAAGAGGCTTAGCAAAGCACTGAACCACACAATGAACCAAGAGCACTACTGGGATACTCTTTAGGGGGATTCTGCTGCCCTTGGAAATATGGTCCTCGGGGCAAGGCAGCAGGTCAGGGAATGAAGAAGGTTATTTGTCTGCATGCACAAGCAAAAGGAGAGGAAACAATGGCTGTTTTCATCAAATTCTAATTTTAGAATTCTAGCACTTCCTCACTTTTAGAGACTTGGTTTTAGAAATAAATGAAGCAGTTTCTTTGTATGCATGCCAATGTCTAATACTATCCTAACAGACTGATGGGCAATTGAAGAGAATTACCAGACCTACTTGAGTAATGATTAAGTTATTTTTGCCCCAAAAGTAAAAAAATAAGAAAGCAGAGCCTGCCATATCCCAGGCAGGAGTAAATGTTTCCTTCTGGAAAGAAAATGCTGGGGATAGCCAGAACCAGATGACTGTGAAAGGTGGTGCAGCCTCTTCAGCTCCTGCTAGGATGGGGAGCATGCCAGTGTGGATAACATCAAGACGAAAGTGACAGAAGTTCAGCAGAATGCTGTGCAGTAATTTCAGCAGTCATAGTTTCTCTTTTCATCATTTATTTAAGACTATGTCTAGACAGTGCATTACCATTCACTGAATATATATATGACTAATGCCCTGAAAAGCAAAGATACTGGAATAATTTGAACAGAGAAATCACCTAGAGGCCAGACAAATCCTTTTATGTTCTAAAATATTCCAAAATTAACTTTGACAGGAAAAGAGTCAAGGTGACCACAGTGCTTCACAGGCAAACCTGCCTGGAGCGTTTATCTACAGTGTGGCAGATTGGAAATCTTGCAGCTAAACTTTACAGGAAATTTACAGATTTGTTAAAGTTACAGGAAATAAACTCGCTGACACCTCTCAGGCCTACAGTTTCTGAGGACATGCTTTTAAAAGGCATGTAATTATTGGGGGGGAAATATTTAAAGTGTTAACCAAGATGACTTTTTATCCAACCAGGAAGATTTCCAGAGGTTCTGAAACACTTTGAAAATCACAGTTCCTCAAGGGGTTTCTTGTGTGAATAGAGACAACCAGAACTAGCCAGTCACTCTCCAACATCTGGTTGACACAGTTATTTCCTTGCACTAGGGAATTAGAAAGCAGTTTTCTCCAATTGCTTCTCAACCTTGTCACTGGGTTAATTTATTTACTCTACACATGTGCACACACGCGTGCACATGTGTTAATATAGAAAGGGCCTTACTGAAGTGATTATTCAGTACTAATTAGACATACTAGAGACTTCCCCAAGCCTGGAACTGCTGTTTGGAAAATACGCATTATTTTGGGTGAGTCCTTCGCTTGTCAAGCAAGACTGCCTGGAAATACTGTAACCCGCAGGTCACATTTTGCCCTGGCTGACACTCCACCACAGTCACTGAGACAAAAAAAAAACTGCAGGGTACAATAGTGAGGGGTGATGTATGCCTTATTATGATTTTCTTCTTCTTCAGCAAACTGTTTAAAGAATAAAACACAATGACCACTTCTGTCTTCTGGGTCAGAAGGGTCCGGTCTTTCTGTTGAAAGCATTTTCCTGCTAGATACAATATTCTTCTACCAACTGTTGAGAGAATCTTGTAAAAAAAATGTTCGGAGGTTCATTTTCTAATGATCTGAAGTAATTTTAAGGTAGGATAAACATGTTCTTCTTGACACATCCCATGACAAGACATACGGCTCATAGCCTCGCATGTGTCATTATATGATTCAATGCAGGGACAAGTTCAGGGGCATTCCCATAGAACTCAATCACTTAAATTTGTGACCCAAAAGGAGATCCAAGGCTGCAATAGGACCTTTCCTTTTTGATCTTTTGTCATAGTGATGACATTATGTAAATTCCCATGAAAAGAGGAAACAAAGAAAAAGCAATATCAGGGACAACATTAAGTTTTGTAGAAGTTTTCTGGGTACTGGAACAGTCTAGTTCTATCCTATCTAATCTGAGATGCCTGTTCAGGTTAAAATCATACAACTTTTAAGAAAAAGCTGCATTTAATTGAATATATATATATATATATATGAGTGTAATTTGAGTCTTTTCAAACAAATACTTACAATCCAGTGCAAAATGCTACCTGAACAAATTTTTTACAAGCATAACTTCAGCTGCATAAGAGAAGTTCTTAAAGAACTAAATATAAATCAAAGTAAATCCCTGCTTTACCAAAAAGGATTAACAAAACATTTTGCTCCATTTTAATGCTATTGGAAACGCATCATGTTACACAAGCTTACTTTAGTAGATCAACAAATACTGGGATTTTGTTAGAGGAACCCTTTGGAGATTCTTTAGAAACCCATTTTACTCAAAAAATGCCTTCCAATTCTGAGTCAATTCTTGTTGAAAGTAAAGAATTTCCTGTTGAAATGTGGTAATACTCATGTGGGAAGTGGGAAAAGCTTCCATCTTCGGTCAAAGATGTTTAAGTCCTCTAGCGTAGAGTCTTACTGTAACTCAGAAGTTAGATCAGATCCACTAAAATGGTCACTGTTTTCAACAACAGTCCTAAGTAACCAAGGCAGTACCTGAGAGAATGGATCCTAATATGCTTCTGGTAGGAAAGCAGGTGGTAACATCTTGTCCAAAGCCTCAGGTTGTTTTAAAATAACACCAAAATTGGGTTAGCAGGCAGGAAACTGATAGTGCTCCAAATCAAAGGAAATGCTATCTTAACTGCAACCTAAATTACTTCTAAGAAAAAAAGTTCCTACAGTAAATGCAAGCACATTGAGAGCAGATACAGCACATTGCAAGCATACATGAGCTGCCCCACTCGGCTGCAGATATTGGCCTGAACTAGGACAAATAATGAGCCCTGTGAGTGATAACAAGAAAGTACCTTCTTCTTGCCCACCTGGAATTTTGGTGAATTTGTGAATAAGTGTGGCATTTAGGAAGAACCATGAGCATTAGTGTTTCAGCTCTACTCCTTATCATGTTGGACTAAGTTTACTGTGAATTTTTGCAGATTTACTTCTTTTAGTGAATCTATTGCCAAGAACTGACTTAAGTATTTACATGTTTCAAGTGAATTCTCTTTCGGAAAAAGCATTTATTTTAACAATTAATCTGACCAAAACTTACCTAGAGAGCAGTAGAACCCAACTTGCTCATATCCTTCACAGCAGTATGTAAAGTTGATGGTCTCAGGGACTTCAACTGTACGATACTGTGTTTTGTAGTACATTCGGGGACATACCATCCATGGTATCCATCCACCACAGGAAGTGTTTTTCTCAAAGGACGTTTGGTAGGCAACCATTTTAAAAACGTTTCTGGTCAGGCTATAGTTGCACAGATGATAGCCTAGCAAAGAGAGGCCTCTTTCTAGGGGAAAATAAAACAGGAAAGAGAGGGATCAGACCTAACTTTTCACGTAGTAGCACGTGTTCTCTGCAATTAAATTTTAAAATGGTTAAAAATTAGTTAAATACTTAAAAATAAGTTAAAAATATCAAAAATTATGAGAAAACATTAAAAGTATCAATATAGATGAATGATTTCCAGATAGGCTGATGTTAGGAAGAATGTCACCTCAGAAAATGGACAGAAGAAAGAATTAGTAGTGACTGCTTGTCACAGCAACCGCTTCAGTCATAAAAGGTGCATATTGGCAAAGAATTCAAAGAGTTCTCAGTGCTTTCAGGAACATCACAGAAAGAGGGCAATTTAACTCAAATAAGTGTAAATTAATATCCATTAATAGAAATGAATTGTGAAACAGAATAGGCAATTCCAGAGCAGAGTCATCCAAGTACTTCAGATGTCCAATTGAGGCTCACGCTGCCCAAATGTTCATCTAGCTCTGCTGACTATTAATGGAAGGAAGCATGAGCAACTCATTGGCAGATGAGTCACAGGAGATGTCTGGAAAAGACATCCTTCAGACACTGCCCTAGGCTAAAACTGGGTACTCATACATCAGTGGGAAGGACTTTCAGGTATCTGGCACAAAAGGTATTCCTGGAGCTTCTTTGCTGCCTCTCTGCATTTGTTGTAAATAATATTAGATCAGGTCCTTTGAGAGATGTTGTGATTCACTGACTTCAGCATAAATGAAAATTGTGCTAAGTTCATTAGCTACATAATGTCACAAAAGTCTGAGAATGGAACTCCATTTTTGAGGTTCTGAAACCAGGGTGTGTTCTGCTTAAAACTCAAGTACTTGATCGGGAGCGGTAAAAGGAAAAAAAAAAACAGAGCTGAATTAGCAGTGAGCAACCTACAGCCATATTACAGACACCAGGCTGTATTTTAATGAGATATTATACAAGCCTTATACTTAGGGCTGACTCACCCTGTGTCCCATTTGGGAAAGAGATCGGATAGAATTAAAAAGGCCTATATCATCCTTTAGTCAAAGCAAAAGAAGCTTTAATAAGGATAAACATGATTTAGCTGAAGAGTATGGTAGGATTTTTTCTGAGAACTCTTAGGGGACCAGAGCCAGACAACAGACTGAAGTTAACACAGTGTGCATAAGCATAAAATTAAAATATGTATAAATTAAAATATTATCTTATTTGTACAGCTTACCTTTTTCCAGAGAAGATGAAAAATGTAAAAAGAAGAAACTAAAGAGGACTCCTCTGCTTTTATCACATCTAGCTTTCCAGCTAAACAGATGATACATGTACAATCTGAATAGCAATGGTAAAAGAAGATAATCCATTTGTCATACAAGAACAGTTTAGAACAATGCATGGGGTAGACACCGTAGGTCACAATGTCTCTCAAGCTGGCTTACTCCACCAAGTGACTTAGCAGGTTTTCCTCCAGGAAGAGGACGGAGAGATCATGAAAGCCCATGTCCATCCATGGACTCTCTACTTGGTTAAAATTAGGATATCAATCAGGGTGAGGGGAAAAGAGAAAAAAATACTGGTCGTGGATGTATTACCATGGTTAGAGCAATGCAGGAACACAAAGCAAACAATCAAGTAAGGAGAACACTGGAGATCAGTGTTTTCAGAGCAGAGCTGAGGCTGCAGCAAGGACATAGCACTAGAAAGCTAGAAATTCCAGAGTCAGCTGAGCTGGCTTAGGCTTCACAGCAATGTGCAACATAAATACAGGTATGAAACTGAGAACAAAATGGTATAGAATTAGACACAGTCTATAATTAGAAGCTACAGCTGTCAGTGCAGATATGAAATCATATTTCATACTTAAACACTGATCCTAGGTATGGAATGAGGCTGCTAAAGCCAAGAGAGAAGGTCTGAGACATGGCTATGGTGGTACAGACTAGACTAGAAGGCAGCACCACTAACCTTGCCATCATTTTGATCCAGTTTAAAGTAATTTTGGCACTCATAGAGTTCAATTATTTGCTGACAGCGGTTTCCAGCTGAGCAATGTGACTTAGATCAATTCGCACTCCTTAGCGAATTGGCTGTCAGTTGTTATTACCCCCCATCTATGGGATTAAAGCACTATCAAGCAGAATCAAGTAGCACTGGCTGTTTTTTTTCCAGCAGTACAGAGCCGAAGTCAATAGCAAAGCGGAAAGGAATCAGCTGGCATTGGCAATGCTACCTTAGACTCGTCATCTTTGGCTTTCAAGTTTTTATTTTAGCAATCACTAGTTTTCTGCACTGGCAGAAAAAGTATTAATTTTATTATGTTAAACAAGAGGAAAAAACATTAAAGCAATTTCTTTTTTATTAGAAACCAACATTTAGAAGCTGAAAGGAAAGTCAACGTTAGGAGCAGGCTGCTCAGAACTGGAAGCCAAATCCAGAACAGAGTCAGTACCTGAAAGCCTGATAAAAAAATCAGCAAAAAACAAAACAAAACAAAACAAAACAAATGAAGTTTGATAACATTTGTGCCACTTAATCACAGTTCTAGAAGCCTCACAAGAGCTGCTCTAGGGCCAGAAATGCCACCGTGACCTGGAATCTGCCAAACCTCTAGCTGGAGGACAGCAAGAGCCAGGGACAAGTCTCTCTCCTGCCTTGACGTAACCTCAGAAGTAATCTGTTGGACCAGGTTCACGGGGGCAGAGCCAAACGCTGCATTGTTAAGAAGCAAAGGCTCCAAGACACAGGGAAAAAATGGGTTGAGAACTCAATTTTTCCAGGTATTCCAAACTGTAGTTTTTTTAAGTCTGTGCCACTGGCTTTTAACAGCAACAAACAGGGTTTTGCTAACCCCTGATCTCTTGCAACAGCTTTTTTAAAAGTGGCTTTGGCAGAATAGCAGAAAAGCCAGCAAGGAATTAAAAATATGGCTTAGATTTTAATTGAGACTTACGAAACCACTTAATTAAAAAATATGTAACAAAACCCAGCCAAAAATCACAGTATTTCTCATTGAAATAAATCAACCTAGAAATTAAGAACACATTAGGATTTAATTTAGCACTTAAAGCCTAGCAATTGGACTCAGTTCTTCCAAATTGCAGCCTACAACATATGTGAAAGTTAAGCATGTCATCTACCATCTCATTTTAGGCATCTCTCAGAGCTTGCCAGGTACATTTCCATATATAATTTCCTACAAAGATTTCCTTTAATGACAATTTTCATAAAAATTCACACATTTCTGCACATAAGGCAACAATCCTACTCCTTCATCTATGGCACAGAGGAATCACAAGGCCTGTGGACCAGGAGCTGGAGACAAAGCTCTATTTTGGCTTGCTGAGGTTTCGTTCGGTTGTCAACAGCATTTTCTTAATTGTTCACTGTGACCTTCCCCATTCTCCAGACAGTTTTATTTATTTCACACAAAGACATATCCCACACCTAACACACGCTGCCCTAATAAAGGCTGTGGTTCTCTGCGCAGTTTTGCATCACTCACCTGTGATTTCATTCCCCTTTCCCTGCTGCATGGCAGCCCAGAGGATAAGAACAGACACGAGAGGAGCGATTCTGACCATCTTATTGCCCAGGTGGGCCCTTCTTACTATTTTGTTTGTATAGCAGTTGAACTCAATCTTCCTCACTTCCAGATGTTAGGATTAAGGGAGGCAGCACAGTTTCTATGCCTGCTGCAGGTGGATGTTAGCTACTGGCAACAGAAACAAAGGGACTCCAGTGGGAATTCTGCTGCTTCTCTCTCCCTCGTGCTCTCTCCAGGGAACCTACCTCTTCTACCTGCCCAACTTCACACCTCTGCATCACTCTGAAAGCTAAGCATTTAAAAATTCCTGGTTTAGTCCAGATTTATGCTTCCCAGCACTTATTCTTTCTTCATCCCTAATACCTGACAGCTACGAGGCAGGTTTATGTACCTCAGCTTTCAGGTAGATTTAACATGAATTTTTTTTCCTGTTCACATGTCAGGTAATACTGATTTTAGGTCTTATGACTCTGTACCTTGAATACAAACCCACTTAGAGTACGTCTCTGTCCATGATTTTTACTGGACATATGCTCTTTTACTGGCTGCTCTCACAGTGCTCCTCATTTCGTCACAGTTTCAGCATCACATAAACTAGAGCAATACCAGGGCAATCAAGAATCCCTAGTAGCCAGATCATGAATCAGTACATCTGAGACACTAAAATCCCTTTCTTTCCATCACACAAATCATGACGGCAGGTTCCCAGGAGAAATGTGCCTGCGGCTTTACAATGCAGGACAATCAGCTTCCATACAACATCACTTGGCTTATACAAGGTAAAGGACTGAACAAAACACGGTATTTTATGAGGAACTGACAGTGGAGTGTGGAAAATCACAGATTTGATTTTTGAGCTGTTGTAATGCGTTCAGACTTGTACTTAAATACAAATAACAATGTCCTAGGCAGTTTTGTGTTTAAGGTAGAAACGGATGTACAGGTGCTGGAACCACAAAGTCTTTCATTTCTCTACATGCAGAATATCACTTCCATTAAACACTACCAGGCAAACACCTTTCCAATACTCACAAGGCCATGGCCTTCAAATGAGAAACGCCTTTGGTGAAAATTAGAAAATGGGTATAGGAGAACACTTCAACCAAGTAAACAGATATATACTGGCTTGGAAACATTGCAGCTGTGTCTAAGGAGAACGTACACCACAGCACCCCTTCTCCTGCCTGCACCAAGCTTCCTGATTGGTTTGCATGTCCCAGGTGCACCATTTATATCTCCTAATAGCATGAAGAGGCAGCAGGGAGTCTCTGCCTTTAGACTTTACTAAGCATGTAATTTGACTCAATAAATGAATAAATGGTAAAATTTTAAACAAACAACAAGAAAGAAGACTTGCAAAAAGAAATATTTTACTTTATGGCTTTATTTTTTTTTTTTTTTTTCAATGGTCAATCTGAATTTTTTTGAAAAAAAAAATCCTGATTGA